AAAAGCTGGCTCAAGATCGTACCGATATATTAGACGCTCGAAGAGAGATTCAGTGTAATTCCATTTCATTCGGATTTTGTATTTTCACCTACCGAGAATCAATTTCAAATATTGGGAACCTTGCTACTGCCTTCTGTTAATCCATATCCTTCTGAATGTTAAATTTCCTCTCAACTGGCTCAAGAAATTCGATTTAAAGCTAGTTTCCAAATCATGTTAAGAATTGTATTTACCTTAAGTACATTTATCCCTCTTATTTTAGTAGCATACTTTTAGACGCCTTGTGGAATGGAATAAAGTAATATAATAATGCTATAAGCATAAGAATATTATTATTATTTGGATGGGTTTCAAATGGAACGACAAATTAAATATATTCTCCATTACCATGTATGGTGAGGGTATAAACAATCATAAGAAATCACACCCACGTTGAAACAATAGAATATTTGAGACTTGCTCTTTTGGTAACAAAATTTTGAATTACTTGCAGTTCAAAATAAAAAAAACAGTTATCACGTGAGTAAAAATATTAAAAAAAAACAGCTAAATGTGTGTTCTTTTTCAAAAATTACTGGATTTTCGCCAAAAAGAATATAAAATAATGGAACTGACGAGCAACAAATCCTATGCCATAAAACAAATATATTCTTAAAAAGCTTAGTAAGTATGCCTTTCCATCCGAATTTGTTGGTTATATAAAGAGGAAAATCACAGAAAATTATAAAAAAAGAATTATCTTTTTTATATAAAAATTCCCATCATAACCCTCATAAACCGTACGACCTCCCGCAATTTTTGTTATTCAACTACCTGTTTCTTGTCGCAAATAGTTTCACTACATATTTGTCAACAATTTCATTTGTTGCTGTTCAGTTGTTTTTTATTGTCTTTTGGTCATTCACGCTTTTATAGTTTTTGTTTACACAACACCTATCTTATATCTCCCAGTACCCCTCATTTCTTTTGCCAAACACTAAATTTTTGGTTTTCTGTTTTCACTTTTTTCACAGTTTCAAAAATTTTGTTGAGAAAAATTTTGCAAAGAATATTGCGAGAAGATAAAAGAGCTAAATAAAAATAGCTATAATTTTTCATTGAAATTTAAACAGAGGTACATATATATTTATTGAATAAATAGATGGATAACAGCGGGAGAGAGAGAACAAATGAGTAGGGTGGGGAGAAAGAATAAATTCGCATTTGAAAAAAGAAGAATAATTAAAAAATATTGTTTATATTTTTATTATGCAATTGTTGAGGGTGGAAAATTGTGTCGAAAAAGTCGATAGTCGGATGGGGTCAATATGCATTAAAACTTAATTTGATAATATTTTGCAATATGTCTGAATCATTTTGAAAATGGTACGTATGTTTAACATGATTCCGGTCGGATATTAACGGGTTATAGTATATTTCTAGTGTAGAAGTGTTGTATTGAGAAGCTGTGTACCAACACCATTTCGAAAAAGTTTGAGGGTAAATGGTCACAAGCATGATTTGGTCTAACCATGAAAAAATCTTAAGAATTTGAAAATGTCTTTTGAAACAGATGACAAAGAGGTCCTCCAGTAAAATTGAAAAAATGAAAGCCTACAAATGTTAGAGATTCAAAATGGAACTTCGATTTTAGAGTCGACGACAATTTTTTGACTGAATGGTTGTGACCATCTCAAGTTGGTCACAAGCATGATTTGGTCTAACCATGAAAAAATCTTAAGAATTTGAAAATGTCTTTTGAAACAGATGACAAAGAGGTCTTCCAGTAAAATTCAAAAAATGAAAGCCAACAAATGTTAGAGATTCAAAATGGAACTTCGATTTTAGAGTCGACGACAATTTTTTGACTGAATGGTTGTGACCATCTCAAGTTGGTCAATGAATTACAAAGATATTCAATTGAAAATGGTGTCTGACACCAGCCACCATAATATTTTTACAATTTTAAGTTGTAGATTTTTTTAAATCTTTAGCCTTAATTCCATGTTATACACAGAAACCATAAATCCTGATTCTGGGGTTAATGTGTGATGGTGAGTGTCTCTCTAGCTCGTCTCGAAAGAGAAATTAACAAATAAATCATGAACATATGATCTCTGCCTTAACAAGCTAATACTTTGGTATTGAAAATGGGCCATGTATGTGTACGTTTTGGTATAGCCCCCATATAACGGGACCTCTCGATATTCGGTATTTTGATGATTTTAGCGACTTTATTCATCGGAATTGTTTCCAATTTTGTATTTGAAGTTCTTAATGGATACTACAGCCTAAGACAGAAAATTGTCTGTGCAGGTCCACGTCTTCGTATAGCCCCATATAACGGTACCCCCGATATTCGGTACTTTGTTGATTTTAGCTACATTTTTCACCGGAATTGTTTTAAATTTGGTATTTGATGTTCGTAAAGGGTGCTACAGACTATGAAAGGAGATTTTGTGTTCAGGTCCACGTCTTCGTATAGCCTCCATATAACGATACGGTCCATATGCAGGTCCGTGTCGTCGTATAGACCCTAAAATAGCAGTTACATTCGGTATTTTTAAGATTTTAACAGATTTTATGGTTTTTGAGAATTGCCAAATTTGTTCCAAATGGTGGAGGGTATTAGACATCAAATCGGATGAAAAATATATGGGAGTTATACCTATATCTGAATCGATTTTCATTAAATATAATGTTATTGCTTCTAGACTAAATTCGGTCAGATGAGCCAAAATTCAGGTCATTTTGACTGATGTTGGCCATTTGGTGCCCAATTAACCCGAAATCGGTTGAAGATATAAATGGGAGCTATATCTAAATTTGAACCGATTCTCACCAATTTCAATAGGGTTCGTCCTTGGATCAAACCAATATTGTTTGGAAAATTTCATCTCAATTGGATAATAAATGCGACCTGCATTTTGTTCTCAAGAATAAATGAACACACGGACGGATGGAATGGACAGACGAACTGACATGAATAAATTGACTTAGTAATTATGGGTCTATCTGGCTCCCTTCTCCATGTTACACACAAAAATGCTCAAAGACATAATACCCTTACCACTATGTGGTGTAGCGTATTAAGAGTAAAACAACTGGTTCCCGCCTTTGGCAAACCGGGTACCCTTTAAACTAGGTAATTTTTGGCTTTTTTGCATGGAAATAATAATTTTTGGTAGTTGTTAAAATTCTTCTGGGTTTGCAAAAAATATTGTACTATGGAAAATTCTGACCAGATACAGAACTCCCATTGTTTTTTTGTAAGTTATGTGTATCGTAGTAGGCATTAATATATCCCTAGATGGAAGAGGGCAGTAAATTTTTGGCAGACAAATATCTACCAAAAGAGTATAAAGAGTAAAAAATTGGTTCCTGTCTCTGGCGAACCAGGTGCGCTTCGAAATGGATAATTTTTTGGTTTTTTTGCATGGAAATAATTTTTGCTAGTTGTTAAAATTCTTCTGGGTCTGCAAAAAATATTGTACTATGGAAAATTCTGACCACATAAAAAACTCTTATTGCTTTTTGTAAGTCATGTGCATCGTGATAGCTACTAACCGATCCCCTAGAGGGAGGAAGATAGTAAATTGTTGGCAGACAAATGTCGAAGTACAAGGTTTGTGATCAAATTGCAGACTTCTGTTGCTTTAAATATTAAAATTCATGATGCTTAACAATTTCGACCCTTAAATGGAGTGAAACAAAGTTGGCCATATTTGAAATCAAACTGAAGTAGATAGGTATTAAACTAAAATAGGAATTAAACAAAAGTATAGGAAAGTAGGAATTAAACAAAAGGATGGGAAAAAGTCAATGCGTTGTTCAACGTTCGTAACAACGAATCGAAGATGGTCTATATTTTTGTAATTCATTTAAGTTTGCAAAGAGAGAAATATCATGCTAGGAATAATTCGGACAAAATACAGAATTATCATCCGTTTTTATGAATGAAGTGTATCGATAAAGTCCATATTCGAAGTAAGAATAAAAAGATAATTCTGTTTGCTTCGTATATAAAATATTTAATTTTTAAAAATATTAATCCCTCCCCCAAGTGGAAGAGGAGAGTAAATCTTCAAAATTATTTCAAGTTTGACAATCACATATCGATGTAAGAAATATGAAATATATAATCTTTAATAAAATCCAACCTCAGAAAGAGTAGAACCAAATGGACATAGATTGAAATCAGTCAATCTGAAGTAGAAACACAACGATGTAACATTTTCAGCCCGATTTAAATAGTATCATTGCGCACCAAAAATTCGCACTCTATGGACTTCAAATATCCTACAATGAATTTCGTTGAAACACCCTGAAGGTCTGAACCCTTTATTTCAATACAACATTTCCATTGAGTCCCCCTTTTGCTGATTGCTTTCCAAGCTTTTTTGCTCAAAAATATGCCAGACATAGTATTCTGTTATACAATAGCCAGAATTTCAATAGCAAAACGAAGTCAAAGTTAACACTCATTGTTTTCATAGGCAAATGTGGACGACGAAAGTAGACGGAAAAATAGTACAATAAAAAACAACAATAACAAAATAAACAAAAAAACGTACGAAAAATACTACATACTACTTCAACCCGATTCCATACGTTTTACTACCATAAATTATGTTTGGACTCTTCTTATTACAACAACAACAAAAATTTGCTGCCGCAGCTATTAATACTATAAACATATCAGGCGATAAAGTGGATTTGCCAATTATTACAAGCAGACAGTGTATACATATAAACAAACATAGATATGTCTACAAATATTTATCAAATTTGCTACAATCAGTCCGACAAAACATGTGAGCTCCACGACTCTATTGTGACTTTACATACTTTATAAAAATATTTGTTTTCTTTGGCACATAGTGAGCTCCACGACTCTATTGTGACTTTACATACTTTATAAAAATATTTGTTTTCTTTGGCACATAGTATTTTGTGGTCACATTTCAATTCTTTTAACCTCATGGAATAGTGTATTATATACATAGCTTCACATTTCTCACCTTAAGATTACCAATCAATTCCATAAACTGTATTATATCTCCTAGGCCAGCATTGAAACAGGGTTTTCCAGATTTGGAATTTTGCTGTTTTTGGTTATCTGATGGTGCTGACGACGGTGATGAGGACGATGATTCATCGTCTGATGCCTGGTGGCCACCACCGCTGCCATTACTAGTATTAAGGTCATCCTTTTGTAGTGTGTCGGCTGCCGCCAATGGTTCTGCTGCTAGTGAAGACATTGCAAATTGTGTTTGCTTATGTTTGCTATTCAAATTGCGATTATGTTGTTGGGTATGGAATTGTTGATGATGGAAAATTTGCTGTTGAAAGAAATTCTGTATGCGTTGGGAACGTTGATGGGTTAGGTTATGGTGCTGATGGTGGTGGTTATGATGTTGGGGTCCCCTTTGCTGGTGCTGTTGTGTTGCTATGGTATGTTGCTGGGAAGTAGTAGTTGAAGAAATCACAGCTGTCTGTGTTACGTTCGGATCCTGCGTAGTAATAGCTTGCCTTTCACCGGATTTTATTGAACCGTCAGTGTTCAAAGACGAATACAAACTAAAACATTCGTTATGACAATTGAGTGTTTGCTGCTGTTGATGGTGACTGCTGCTGCCGCTGCCGCTGCTACTGGTAGAAGTAGTATTGGCGTTGTTGGTGCCATCGCAGCTGCCAACGTTACTGCTCAAGTCCACATTTGTTTGCTCTTGTTGCTTAGACAATGATGACGTTTTGCTTTGGTTTTCCACCACATCTTCTCGCTGTTCTCTTTGATTATTCAACAGTGACGTCATAAGTACCGAGGAAGGTGCCCTCGCCGCTGCTGGTATTCCCTCAATGTTGCCAGCAGCCGCCACATGTTTAATACTCTTTACCAAATCGCCAGCATTATTTATAGCCGTGTTGTTTTGTAGCTTTCTCAGGGCTTTGATCAGTTGCTGAATTGAGAGCATTTTTTTGCGCTGAATATAATCGAAATACGATGTCGTTTCGTAGTCAGTCGTAAGCGTCTCGTGACAATATTAAAATGCAAGTAAATTAAATTTTTGTTTGATATTTTCGCTTTTCGCAAAAGCCAGGCAATACTGTTTTGATTTTTATTTTGTGTTCTCGTTTCTGGTTTGCTTTGGGGTATACCTTTGTTACCACACCGATGTGTGTGTGGTTATGACTGATGTTTGGTTATTATTGCCTGGTTACTGACACTCACAATTTGATCTGCAAATAAACCAAAAAACAAAAAAATATTAGCATTTGTTTGTTATTTCTAAACTAAACAAAGAAAAAAACAAAAAAATTGGTTAAAAGTAGTTTAAATTCCATTAAATTATAAAAAATGACAGTTCTCACTTAGCAAGACTTTGCGGAGGATGAATGAAAAAATTTTCGAGCTTTAATAAAATGAATTGGGGGTTTCAAATAAATCTTCATGGATGGAGGTAACTCGAAATAGAAAAAATAATTTTTCAACAAACCGCAAATAGACTCAATGATTAAGTCCATTTAGACATTGGGAATGGATTTATTTTAAGGAATCGAAGAAACAGATATTTTTTTAGGAACTAGGTGGTGGAACGATTGTACCATACAGAAATCAGGGATGGGAACCTTTGTTTTATTTACATAAATTTGAAATGGGCTATCAAACCAATAATCATTTTAAATAACATTTTGTATATATCAGCCATATCAATGGACTATAAGAAGAATATTTTTCAGAAACCATCAGAGGAAGAAGGATAATTTGAGAGTACCTTTTCGGAGTAATAGCGGTGGATTTTCCAGAGCAATTTTTCAAGAAGGAAAAAAGACAAGAGTATTATTTCAAGAATTATAAGAAGTTATTTCCAAGATAATAAAATACCATTTTCAAGTATTAAAAAAATGTAAGCCTATTTTTCAGGGGCAACCAGAGAAATAATGATAGAGAGTCAATAGGAGATTTTTAAAACCACATTTAGATCAAGGCCTACAACTAAGAACTTATTTTAATATATATTTTTTTAAGGTGTATAATCGTTGATATTTTTAGAATTTTTTTTCAACAATCATCCTCAGACAATTAATTGTGAATTTTCGCTTTTTCTAAGAAGTTCAAAAATCATTGATTTTTAATTTTTTTCAAGCAGCATTTTTCATGGAATTTCTGATTTTTGTGGATTTTTAGGAATTTTTCATTCAGGACAATCAGATCTGACAAACACATATTTATTCTATATTTTTCTAGGAACGTGTTTAAGGACTATTTCATGCAAATGTCGAAATATTTAGATATAGCAAGTTGTAAAGATTCGCTGACCCTTTGTGGATGAGGTACCAGAAGGGGTTTGCAGATATATATTATCTTCACAACAGATCTTGTGTTAGCCAAAATGTTTGTATGTGTGAAATTTGAAGAGAGTTAGATGCTTTGAGCGTTTTGTTTTTCAAAATCTTGAACCCTATGTGGGGGAGGTACCAGAAGGAATGGTCCGATCTATACCTTCTTTATAACAGATCTTGTGTTGATGGAAATATTGATATGGGCCAAGTTTGAATGAAATCGAATTTTAATTTCGCGTTTTATGAGCTTCATGGATATTCAAAATTTTGACACTTTGTGGGGGAGATACCAGAAAGGGTGGACCGATATACCCCATCTTCACACCTGATCTTTTATTAGTAGAAGTATTGAGATATATGAAGTTTGAAGAGGATCAGATGCTTATTTCTCGTTTTACTAGCTTCATGGCCACTCCAAATGCTGACCCTTTGTGGGGGGAAGTACCAGAAGGTGTGGACCGATATATCCCATCTTCACAGAAGATCTTGTGTTAGTAGAAATAATGGGATGTGTGAAATATGAAGAGAACCGGGTTCTTATTTCGGATTTTATAATCGTTTTGGTTATTCAAAATGTTGACTCTTTTCGGGGGAGGTACCAGAGGGGGTAGACCGACATATTCCATCTTCACACCATACATGGGGTTAATAAAAATATTGTGATGTGTGTAATTTGAAAACAATCGGACTCTTATATCATATTTTATAAGAGTTATAATTATTTAAAATGTTGACCCTTTTGTGGGGTCAATCCATTTTCGAACCTGGCGTAGCACCTATGTAAATATTATTATTCGCAAGTTGGAGCAAAATCGGATTATTCTTTCTATTTCTTTGCAACAAAATATTTTACTTGAAAATGTTGAAATTTTGTGGGGGAGGTACCAGAAGGAGTAAACCGATATTGCCCTTCTCCAAACTCTATCTAAATTTGGCAATAATATTACGATGTACCAAGTTTGGACCAATTCGTATATTCCCTGCGTGAGTTATCGTGCGCACCAGCCAGTCAGACAGACGGACGAACAAACGGACGGACATCGCTAGATCGATTCCAAATATCCTGAAATGGATTTGATCCAAAGAGACCTATGATCTAAAGCCGTTATTTCGATGATCCACGTTTTGGCTGTATCAAATGATATATACCTTTTCTAGCCATATGGCTGAGGGTATTAAAATAAAAGAATCAGGATAGATCATTTTTTTTAAAGTCTTAAAAAAGGTCTAAAAATCGATGGTGGTTGTCAATTCAATTTACGGATTCACGAGACCATGAAACATTTTGTGGCAATTGCCCTATATTTACACCATCTATCGAGCAAATGGGAATTCAAAACTATAAGTGATCATTTAGATTCATCTTCATATAAACGTATGTAGACATTTTATGTTTCCATACTGGTCAACATATAATCGACTACTGTGTTGTTCATTTCCATATCCTGCTGATATAAATGCAATTTTGGTTCCAAATCGGCGGTGAATTCAAAACTATAGAAATATTTTTCCTTTCCCTCACCTATAAAAAGCAAGCCCAGCTCGTGTTTGACAACAATCTTATTCGAAAATACTGATAAATTACGATTACCTACTTCTGATTTTATGCTATTTATCCAATTGTTATATTCCTCGAAGGCATTAAAAATGAAACAGCGTTTACGGTAAACGGAAAGAACGACATTGATTTTTTCAAAATCTGTTTGACATATTAAATTTCTGACAAACGAAAGCGATTACAGGGTATAGTGATTGAATTTTAGATGACGTTGTGTACTATCTTGTGGGAAATACATGGGCATTTAACAGCTTTTCAAAGTCCTCGGCTGGATTTTTTTTGCCCACTTTATCAAACGATAACCTAATATTGTTTTTTGTTCTTTTGTCTTCTTCCCCGGCTTGTTGTTTAACACCTCCTTGACCTGGAAAGCCTTTGATTTTTCCAAACATTGATCATTTACTTCGAGTGGGGATAGTTTTGCTTTTACTTTTTAGCGGAATCTTTAGCCTCATCTTTAATTGATTTGAGGAATTTCGAAAAGTCTTCAACAATATTTTTATCTTTATGGTCCATTTCAACCGCTAAATATTATCCAATTACCATCCAACGTAGGAGACTTCTGTACTGTCTTGAAAATCTTCAAATACAATAGGCTTCTATTCTGACCCACACTAATTCTATGGCAAATTTCGTAGATCTGTAGTTTGAATACAAATTAACAGAGACAGACGGATCGATAGGATCAATATTATCATCTTTTTGCCCCAATCGAACTTAAAATGCATCTACAAGTGGGTCCTTCAAAAATATTTTTTTCACTGGTATTTCAAAATATAATATTTAAAACTTACGGAAATTTTTGTCCGAATGTTTTCATAGCTTTTTTGAAAATCTACTTTTACGGTTCTTCATACTATGTAGAGACATTATTAGGTACCATATTAACTACACATAGCCGGCAATACTATAGTTGTTTGAAAAAAAAAAACAACCTTCACTATTTGCATTTGCCAAATATCAATGAGTTTGTGACCTTGACGTAAAGTAATTCACACACACGAAACAAATTTATTAACATATTATTTGCCCAACACAAAACCATGTAGGATAACAGGATTACATCAACAACTATTATTAAACTAAAAGGAATTTGCATTATGGGATGATATCTACACAATGTCAATATTAAAACTTACTCACCTGTTAGTTGATGGTGCTGCGTTGAGGCAATTTTATTGCAATTAATTTTGATTTGACAGTCGTTGACATAGAAAAGTGACAAACTACTGTTCTCCATGTACTACTACTACTACTCCTTGATGAAAGAGGATTGATTTGATTTGGTGCGCTCTCTTTGGGTTTTTTGTTAACTCACCAAGACAAGAGAGTTAGAAAGTAAAGAGTACAAATATGTTTTGTTGTTGGCTTCTTTTTTTCCTATGTACACAAAACGGAGGTCAGAGTTTGCAAGAGACCAGTGGGTGGTAAAGAGAGTGCGTTATTTTATATTTCTATTGAATTTGCTGGCCACAAAGAGATAGAGCGCGCGGCAAACAAATTTATACAAAGAAAAAAAACAAACGTTCACTAAAAATATATGGCAATCAAAAAGACAATATTTTGCTTTGTGATATCAGGAATTTTTTGCTTTTGTTTTATATTCTCACAATGAACTTTCATTGGCCGCCGCCGTCGTCGTCGTCGTCTGCTTTAATTATTATTATGGTGCTGATAATAGTTTTGTATTCGAATTTTCTTCTATCATAGAATACTGTAGTGTTTTGTATTATTGTTGTTGTTGTTGCTATACCACTAGCTTTGTGTAAATTTTATTTATTTTTGGTGCTACTTTTTGGGGGGTTGATGGTGGTGGTGTCTGGGGGATGGTTTATATTGCCGAATATTTTTATATAGCGTTGATGTCTTGCAATTTGATTTTATTTTTCATTAACACTGGCTGGCTGACTAGAAGAATGACTAGAAAAATTCATGTGACTATCAGTAATTCTAAGAATTCGTTAGTATTTCTGTTTTAGTATTGATTTGTTGTTGGTTTCGACACTTTTTATAACAATTTATTGCACATTTTTTTCGATTTGAAATTTATTTAGGCACCACAAACAAAAAAAAAAACACTCGACAACACACTATTTTGTTGTAGGCATTTACTTTGATAGATATAAGGAGCGTTTTTCGATAGATAAATTGCACAAACAAGCGACCCGACCGACCGACAAGAAAAGAATCAACCTCGCGTTTTATTGGCAGCAATTCGAATGCGGAAGATAGATTTTAGTTTGAAATAGATATACAGTTCCGTTGACCATATTGTAAAAACAAAAGGCGAAAAACCAAAAAGTTGCAACAAATTTCACACTTTTGAACTAACGCGACAAAGGCAAGCACAAATAAAACAAAACGATTTGTAGATAGGTAGGTATTTTGGGTTTTCGTAACTGTTTTTCGTCTGCTAAGAGGGCGCAACGTTCTGCCGTCTTTTATTTTTCAATGACACGCTGCTCGCTACTTTTGTTAATTGTTTGTTTTGTAATTTTTGAAAACAGCTGTTACGGCTTATGCTTTATGTGCCTGTGGTTGTTGTTGTTGCTGCTTCCACCGCTGCTGCCGCTTCTTCTTCTGCCAAAACACAGTTATGTCAACTTTCTTCTTTTCTCTCTTAGAATTTCTCTTACTTCCTCTTTTTACACTTTCATTGTCATCATCATCGTTTACTTAATAGAAAAAATCTTTTTATTTTCGTTATTCTTTCGTAATTATTTATAATTTATGGTTATTTATTCCATTTACATTTGTTGTGAATTTATTTTAAATACACTACTTTCTATTTTCTTTTATATTTTCGTTAACTAAAAAACGCTGTTTGTAACAACCGTTTTCCGAGGATGACGAAAAATCGCAATATTTGGCTTTAAGTGGCGTTGCCGGTATGCTGGCGTTTAGCGCGGCTATGGCTCGTCGGGTGAGGGGTGGTTCTTGCCACTTGAAGACCTTTTCGGTTGAACACAAAAAAAATATCATACCGGGCTTGCACGAATATCTAAAAGGGGAATATTATTAGAAGCCTAAAACATGCCTAAAAATACAAAAAAAACTACACTTGTCTACCAAAAACTCAATCTTAAACTCACTTTAACCCAATTCTTTCCTCCGGAAACAGCTCTCTTGGCGGCTGTCCGACCAAGAGATAGCCCTCCCACCGAGAACACCTCTCGCCATGACGTCACCACTCCCTGACGTCCCAAATTTGACCCTTCACTTACCTCCGTTTAAACCATCCCTACCACCTTCTTAATGGCCTTAAGCCAACGACATCATCTTCATTTGGAAGTATACAATTTTATTACACCTATTGTACATTACATATTGATTTATACTATCAATCAATGAAAAAAAGCAGGAAACGTAATTATTAACTCCATAAAAAAAAATTAATTCCAACTCTAAGCTCCTTCTCTTTCTTTTTCCTTTTCAGGGTTCGATGGCGGGTATCAAGAGTTAGGACCACTGACGGCAGCTAATGGACAAGGTTCTTCCCAAAGAGTAAGTACGTAATAGTATGAAGTTTAGCTTTATAACTACATTCCCGGTTCAAGATTAAAAAAATGATAATTTATTTTCCAATTCCAGGCCAGGACAAACAAAAGGCAGTATGTCGACACCACAAAAACAATCGACGAGAAAAAAAAGTGGATACCTAACCTCGAAATGAGCTCAATTCAACGAGGGATCCTGCACTGCAACACCAGGCGAGTGAATCTTAAATTAAACTTCTTTTGTTTACCCCTTTTTATTTAAAAATTGTACTTTTCTTTTCAGGAAAACCGCGGAATCTAATTATGTCGCCTCGTCGTCCGTCTGTCTGTCCGGAGTTTATAGTGACGTCTATAGGGAAGATACCAAGTCACGCTGGTATAGCAGTGACGGAAAATCTGCGCCTCCCTCGATGGATTGGATGGGCGATGGTGTGGCTCTTTACTCCAAAAATTCTGCCAGGACTTAATTTTTAAGATTTTTCTTAATTTTCTTTGTATTTATTAAGTTTTGTTTCAAGCTTAATTCAGTTTCGTTTTGTTTTAATTTTAATTCATTTTCATTTTGTTTAAACTTAATTCAGTTTTGTTTTGTTTAAACTTTAATTCATTTTCATTTTGTTTAAAATTTTGCCAAACTTTAAGATGTTTATTTAGTTTTTGTATAACTATTAAGAATACTTTCAGGTTTAGTTCTTAAATGTTCACATTTTAGCTTTTTAAATTTTATATTTTGTTTTAAGATTTATATTTTGTTTTAAGATTTAAGCCTTTTTAGCAAAAAAAAAAGGTTTGGATTTTGTATTCTTTTCATTTATTTTGTTGAACACATCAAATTAATAAATGTAATTCCTTTTACTTATGGAATTTATCGCCAAAAAAAAATGCCGGGTGTTTTACTTCGCTGGGAGCTGGGAGCCACGCATCCAATCTTCTTCGCTGATGAGATAAAAAGGAAAGAATTTTCTTACAATTTCTGCCAGGAAATTCTGGCTGCCATTTTCCTCGTTTAATTTGTCCATTTTCTTTTTAAATTATTCCCCCTTATTGACATTTAAGTCATTGGAATAAACAGCTGTTCCCTAATAATGGTTGACAACATTCTTCTTCTTCTTCTGGCTATCAATTATTTTCATGGTTACCCCTTTTTAAGGCGCACACCACAAAGCCAACTATCCTGCTGATATCCTTATCGAAGGATAGGGGGAAAAAGGTGCGACATTCGATATAAAAATAAAAAAAAATCATTGTGTATGATACGGCAATTGAAAAAAAAATCGATGTTTGGCATCCCTAACGATCGTGGTTTGGCATCCCTAACACTCATTTTCTGATTTTCCAAAATAAAATTTAATTCCGAACTGATTTATTTATTACAGTGTAAACGCTCCATTTTCGTCTATACGAACCTGGTATAAAGTTTACGTCATACGCTACGCGTTATCGTTTAGTCTGACGTAACGTAACTATCGATAGTAGTGATGTTTATGAATGAAAACAATCGGAGTACGATTGTATTGTAAATTTTTGGCGGATTAGCACGCGGACGGACGGACAATTCTGGAGCTGCAGAAATTGTTAAATTTTGGGTAAGTAAAGTGAAAAAAAATTATAGTGAAATATTTAATAATTTAATAAAACAAGTGCCAGTGCCGGGTAAGTTATAATAATGTGTGTAATTAAAGTGATTTAAGTGCAAAAGAAATGAATGAAAATTATCAGTGACATACAGTGCGGGTGTATGTGATAATAGTAAATGGCAAATAGTTGCATGAAAAATTAATCCGTATAAATCTTAGAAAATAATAAAGAAAATTAAAAGAATACAAGGAAATATAATAATAAAGTGGTTTAAATGAAACAATTAAAATTAATTTCCTGAAATTAATTTAATTTCCTAGCCCAAAAAAAAAATTAATGATTTCCCTTCAATGTGTGTGTGTGTGTGAGTGTAAGTAAAAGTTGCATTTACAATGAAAAATTGCACTCATTAAGAAAAAATGTGACTTTGGCGGAAACAATAAGTTCGAAATAAATTCGAAGTGAGTGAATAGTGAATAAAAATGGAACAGATAAAGAAAATATAGAATTAAGGAATGAGTGATAAGTGCGAATGAAATTAAAATGATAATGTTGCCAAAAGAAAAGAAAATTGAAATAGTGAAAACAAAACAAAATGCAAAAACGAATAAAGTGAAAAGTGAGGTGCAAAAGGAATAATTAATGATCATTGTCGGAAATTAATAATTACTAGTGAAAAATTAAGACAGACCTAAATTATGTGTACAAATATTGTGTTTATTTTTTTTTTCTTTAAAGACAAAAAGTGCGAAAAATTGAATTGAAATGAACAAAAAAAATTAAAAAGTATTTTTTACTAGTTAAGAATTGTGCGAATCAATGTCTAAACAATGAATGAAAAAGAAAAGTGAATGAAAATGAAATTGACAATAGTGTGAATTTAATGAAAATAAATTTTCTTTTAAGAATTTGGCTTAGGTAAAACTGAAGTGAAAAATTATGTGAAATATCCTGAATTTTGATATAAAAAATTAAATTTTAATAAAAAAAGAAAATTTTTACAGCAAAAAAAAAAAATAGAAAAACTTATATAAATCGGACGGACGTGAAAAAAGCAACTATTGCGTCTATTTTTAATAACAAAATGTGAAAAAAAAAAATTCAGTGCAATAAAAATTTTTGCAAGATTTTAAAGAAGAGAAAAAAAAATTGAAGTGTCGTAAAAATGAAATAAAATAATAAGCAATGATATTAAAAAAATTATTGTGAATCAACGAATAAGTTACCGAAAATATTATATAAAATTGGGCTTCGGTGAATTTGATGTGACGAATAAAGTGAAATATTCTAAAATTTTAACGGAATTAAATTGAAAGAAATAAAAAAAATTACAAAAATAAATAAATTCTCTCTTCGTTTTAATTTAAATCATAGTCCACCGTTAGGACACAGAACTAATACTTATTTTCTTTTTCTTCTCTTTACAGATTTTTTTTGCACGAGTTTAGCCTGAAAGAAAGGTGAGTTGAGCATGGTGTCTTCTTTTTCCGTAGGGGTACCACCAACTAGGACCCCCAGCTTTGGTCAGAAAGTTGGATACGACATTACTCCAAATATACCTAGGTGTGTTTGGTTTTGTCTTCCCGATTTCAGACTCTATCTTCATAATTCGATGACTGACAGCTCTGCGACCTTGTGTACAACACTCTTCTGCCTTGTGCCATGGATGCGTATGGGTATACAAAGGAAGAGTGCACAAATGGTCAAAGACAGTCATAAATTGACTGCTCAGGAATCGTTAACATATTGTTAGAGTCCGTAAATTTGGGATGCTTCTATCGTAATCCAGCGTATTCTTTCTGACCTCTGCTGTTGGTGTCTAGGAGAGTGGCCTCCTATGGAAACCAAGAAAAGTTTTCCATAATCTCACAAGACAACCCAAAAAGTTGCCCGAATTGGATATCTAATTCACAAAAGGTAAGTAGATATGGAAATGCTGAAAATTGTATAAACAAAAGATATTAATAAGTTATTTTTTATCTTTCCAGGCATTCATTACCTTTAGGCGGTGGAATTGGTCTGACCTGCAAAAACAGGAAATACAATGGAGGGTAGGTTCGAGCAATCCTGTTCTACTTTTCTTCCAGCAGGTGTACCATCGCCTGGACCTTCAGCTTTTGCCAGAATGTCGGATACGATGGCTTACGAATGCACTGAGGTGTATTTGTTTCTTTTTGTCTACCGGCTTCCAGACTCTAGCGTCGTAAGGCGAGTGACGGACTGATCTGCGACCTCGTGTACAACAGTTCCCTGGCCCGTGCCATAGAGCAAACGGCTACTGCGGTACCTATCGCGAAAGGGGAATTGCACTAATGGTCAAGGACAGTCACTACGTGACTGCTCCGAAAGCGCAGACATCAGCTAGAGTCGGCAAACCCGGAGTGCTTTGATTCGTACTCTGACTTCGAAATTCTGACTTCTGCTGTTAGAGTCTAGGAGATTGGACGCCTGTTCGAATAAAAAAACAGGGTTCCGAACTACACCATCATCCAAAATTCTAAGCGAGACCTAAGTGGGACTACGGTCGGCGCTAAGATAAACGTAAGATGTAGTTTTAATTCTCTTTCGTAGTTTTTGTAATTTTGCTCTGGAAAATGAGAAAAATTATGAGAACTCTAGTTCTTATAAACATAAAATTTATAAAAAAATTCCAGCCAAACCCCTTTGTAAGTATGGCATTTCATTTCTAATTTCTTTTCTTTCTTTTGAGATGTTCATTTCATTACATTTATTTTTCCAACCATATTACCTCATGACATTTCACTAATTCCTTCTTTTTCCTTTACTTTTATGGCAAAAATTGGAGAAATTGGGTTCAACCCTTACCCATACACTCAACTACACATCACTTATGAAGAGAAAGCTGCCCTACAGCTTGTATCAACTTAGGAATAATAAAGGACATTTCGTAAGTCGTAATTCAGGTTAGTCCTTTTAACATTATATCTTAAATAATACTAATGAAATTTGTTTTTTTTTTCAATGCAGGTATTACTTCAACTAAATTCGAACGGATTTCCCGGAACTCTTGGAAAATTCAGGTGAGTATTGGAGAAAAATGATGCAATTTTAGTTAAGCTAGATTTAGAATTCAATTTTATATACTTTTCGTGTAGACTTTGCGGATTAGTATTCCATCCTGAGATCTCCGCTTTAATTTAAAAAACTAAACTTCAATTAATTAAAAAAAACACTATCCTCATATATATATGCTTAAGACTTCGGTCGCTATATATATGCAAAAAAAAAAAATAACCAAAAGAAAAATTAGATTAATCAATTATTAAGCATTTATTGCTTCAAATCCTTAGCGTGAAAAACGCCGAGGGGATGCCCTTTAAGATCTTCGACTTCATAAAGGCATTTCCCAACTGGCTTAACAATGCGACACTTGAAAAATTTCTTGTCAAGTTTAGCATTATAATTATTTTTAAAAACACTTTGCCTAAAACTTCTTCGGAAAACTTCTTGCCCTGGGATGAACTTGACCTGACGACTTCTAAGATTATACGACTTCTCATGTCTCAAGTATGCCTGGTGCAGACTATTTCTTATCTTTTCTCTGATAAGATCCTGTTTTACCGAGTTTGGAATGAGTGTTGTCTCGGGGTCATTAAGAAGTTTAAGCTTCCGGGCTAGTTTGTAAAGGCTGGCATGGTTAATCATGTTAACTCCAAAGAGCGCAAAATAAGGGGTAGTTCCGATGGAACTATGTACAGAAGATCGCAGAGAACATTCTATCTCTGACAAATTTCGATCCCATTCTCGGTGATCTTCTCCCAAATACGCTCGAATTGCTGATAAAATTGATTGATTTACTCTCTCCGAGGCATTCGCTTGAGGAGAGTGAAAAGCGGTCTTTGTATGATTTATTCCAAAAAGCTTAACCATGTCTACAAATTCTTTGCTGATAAATTGTTTCCCGTTATCGGAGACAATTACTTCAGGGGTTCCAAATTTATGAAATACCTCACTGATTAAAAATTTCACTACGTTTTTGGAATTTGCTTTGGCCATGGCCTTTAATAGGACGAATTTTGAAAGGTGGTCTACCACAATAAAAATAAAACTATTTCCTGTTTTGGTTCTAGGATAAGGACCTAAGAAGTCTATAAAAATTCGTTGGAAAGGTCTTTCGGTAATTGTTTCTGCTCCCATAGGTGGCCGAAGAGTAACATTAGCTGGCTTTGTTTCTTTGCAAATTACACAATCCTGAACAAAATTCCTAACTTGCGTATTCAAGTTTGGCCAAAAAAAATACTCTTTAATCCTACGAAGTGTTTTGTGGAAACCTCCATGAGATGTTTGGGGTGGGCAGTGTGCGTTTTCTATAATTTGCTGGGTCATTTCACTGGGTACCCATAACTTCCAAGCGAAATCTTCGTTGAGGGGAATACCATCATAGAACTGAGTTCGCTTATATACAAAACCCTCAACCACTTTTAAATGAGGAAGTTGTGAAGAATTGCTTTCAATCGTATCTATCAAGGTTAAGTATTCATCTGATTTAAAAGCTGGTGAATCAAGGTCGATTAACGACTTAACGTCCAGAGAAATCTCCTCCATATCATATCTAGATAGCGTATCGGGTACTACATTTTGTGTGCCTTTACGGTGTTCTATCTCAAAAGAATATCCCTGCAAGTGCAAACTCCATCTGGCTAACCTTCCGCAAAGATCCCTATGTGACATGAGCCATTTTAGACTACTGTGGTCAGTTATTACTGTAAAGGGCATTAACTCTATATATGGCCTAAACTTTTTAATGGCCATCACCACTGCCAAACATTCCCTCTCAGTAACAGAATAATTCCTCTGAGCAGAAGTTAACTTTTGCGAGAAATACGCTATCGGATGTTCACCCTCGTCATCTCTTTGAAACAATACAGCTCCTATTCCTAAGTCTGAAGCATCGCACTGCACGTAGAATCTTTTGGTAAAGTCCGGGTGTGTAAGCACGGGACTGCTTATAAGAGCCTGCTTCAACTTATCAAATGCTACCCTGGCCTCTTCCGTGAAACTGAATCTTTTTCCTTTTTTGAGGGTCTCGAAGATGGGAGCCGCAATGGTGGCAAAGTCGGCTATAAACCTCCTATACCACCCTGCGGTACCCATAAAACTTCTCACCTGTTTTATGGTTTTCGGATATGCAAATTTTACTATAGTTTCCACCTTCGCCGGATCAGTTTTCAGTTTGCCACCGCCAACAAGGTATCCCAAATATTTAAGCTCTTTGAAACAGAACTTCGACTTGGATACATTGATGGTGAGCCCCGCTTTCGCCAAACAATCGGCTACTTGCTCTAACAACCGTAGGTGGGTATCAAAGTCGGGCGAAACTACCAACAGATCATCCAGGTAGACAAAAACTCTATCACGGATTGCGCTGGGGATCACTTTGTCCATTAAACGGCATAACCTTTGGGCCGCATTACACAGACCAAAAGGCATGACCGTAAAATGATAAAGTGGTCTTCCGGGCACTGTGAATGCAGTTTTCTCTCTACTAGACGGGTCCAGGGGTATTTGCCAAAACGCATCCTTGAGGTCGACACTGGAGATAAAATATGTGTCTCCCAACCGACTGAGCAAACCCTCTATATGCGGCAATGGATAGGCATCCTTGACCGTAAGCGCATTAAGTTTACGAGCATCCAAACATAACCGATTTTTCTCACCCCTTCGGACTAACGTAACGGGGTGGCTCCATGGACTTTCGCTCTCCTCAATTACCCCCAGGCCAAGCATCCTATCCAATTCCGCGTACATGAGCTTTTGCACAGCCGGGGACACCGGATAATGTCGATCCTTCACCGGAGTTGCATCGCCAGTATCGATTGAGTGGACCTCAGCATTCGTTTTTCCCAAACCATACTTGGCAAAGCATGGAAATTTATCCTTCACAATTTGCAAACGCGAACGTTGCTCATCGGACAATATATGGGTTTTCACATCACTGATCTCATCGGCTTCGTCACAGAGGCTCACCTGATGGAGGGACAACCCGTCAATCTGAGCAAAGAGGTGAAAACTACGCATAAAATCGACTCCTAGAAAAAGTTCACGACTCAGAGAAGGCACTAGATAGAAAATGATAGGTTTCTGCTGCTTATTGAAATTGACCATTGTAGCCACTTTTCCAACGATTCGATGTGGACTACCATCAGCTGTCTTTATAAAAGAATGAAAATGGATTACATCCAATCCTGCTTTTCCTACAAAACTAAGGCAGTTCTTCCCCAAACAAGACACCGTAGCACCACTATCCAACAAGCCTTCCAACTCCTGTCCGTTGATCGTAAGCTTTGTATATAGGCGAGTATCATCTCCCTCATACAATGTAGCCGATGCAATTTCTTTCCTAACTCTTTTTCTTCTCTTAAAGCGTTCTCTAGCTTTCCTCACTTTATTAGAAACCTCTCCAAAAATTCGTTCTTTAGCCTCATTATATTCCTTAATTCTAACATGGAGTGGTTTAATCTCCCTCAAATTCTTTAATGCTTCTGATTTCAATTTCTCTAAATTCGTGTTCTTCAATACCACTATCTTATCACTAAGGCTATAACTATTTGATTTCTCTGGGGCTATACCGGGGTTGACCTCACCTGCCCCGTTGGAGGTGGGCCCCGATACTTGTTTCCCTGACATTTAGGACAATCTAAAACTGTTACATTCTCCTGTCCACATTTGTAGCAAAACAACTTGCGCTTCTCCCTACAATCTATCCAGCTGTGTCCCCACACTCCGCAATTCCAACACTTATATTTCGCCGGTGTACTAATCGCATCTACTTCCATCTCTTCTGGTATGACTTCTTCTTGCTGCCAATCAAGCTCATGTAGCCTTTGAGGAACGTTAACTCGCTGCTGATGTTGCCTCTGGCTCCATATCAAGTTTTCTGCCCTCTTAACTTGGCGATAAAACTCTCCTAGACTTCTTATCTGGGCTGAGAAAATCATTTGGGCTAAAGATGGCTTCAAGTTACCCCGCATTATCTCTACCATGTCGTGCTCTTGATAAGGCGTTTTCTGCTGGGTCCGAAGCTTCAGCACGGAATTATAAAAATCGTCGAACGTCTCATGAGGTAGTTGCCGTCTGTTCAGAATTTTCATTTGTATTTGGAACTCATTCTCATACTGCTGGTACTGGTTCAAAAGCGCAGTCTCAAGCTCGCTCCACGAACGAAAATTGACAAATTTCCTTTGGTTCCAATACCAATCCAAGGCTGGCTTGTCTAGAAGCTGGTGGAACTTCGTCAAGAATTCGTCTTCCGGGCAATTGAAATCCCTCTTCAACTGTCCAACACGAAATATAAATTCTTGGACATTCACTGTCTTCTCGGTGCCATCGAAACGGATACCCCACTTGTCCAAATTTAACCGTCCGCTGGACTCAGAGTAAAAACTGGCTGGAGGACGAAAACCATATGGATTGCCTCCTTCGGGCGGAAACTCCATGTTGCTAAAAAGTGGTGGTCTATATGCGGCAAATGCATGGGGTCCACACTGTGGTCCTTGTACTGGTGGTGGCACCGACAAATTAGGTTGTGGTGGTGGTTGTGTTACTTGGCCAGCTGCTAAGGCACTGGGAATGGATGCTTGGCTGGGTATCTGCCCTTGGGCATAATTTGGTGCTGTATAACCTGCTGGAGGTGGCCGATATGACGGTATGGCATTAGGAACTCCCAGTAGACTCCGTACTTCCTCGCGCATTTCGCGCCGCGCTAATCCGACTGCAGTGTTAATAATTTCTAGCACTCCGGTACTGACTGCTGGCTGACCCGTAGGCACACCGGGTGCCAAAGATGGCTGTTGCAATCCAGTCAACACGCTGTAATTCGGGGAATGGACACTTCCATGCGACCAGAACGACGTGTTGAAAGAATTTGCGGCGTCTTGCAAAACCGACGGTATTGGAGGTGCTGTGGAAGAACTGGTAGGCATCGGTCCAGGCGTTGTAGTCGACACCGTATGCGTCGTTATGGGAACACTTCGAGTATAAGTGGTAACAGAAACAGTAGGAGCGGTCGTGACAACCGCACTGGCGACTACACTATTCTGACCTAAAATTGGCCTGCCAGTTGAGTCCCTATTTGTAGACCTAGTGCTGGGCATATTCCACTCTGTTGTTTCCTAACCTCTTATAAAACAAAATTCTTCCAAACTAAAAGAAAAATTAAGCTTTTGCCAAAAACTTCACTCAAATGAAAAAAAAAAATCAAGGTATTTCTATGGAATTCAGGCAATACTTTGAGGTTGAAAAAAAAATATATTTATAGAACTTTAAGTACCAGTTTCAAATTTAATAAACTTAATTTCCTATTCCATAAAATTTAATTCGATTTAATTTTTAACACACATTTTTACATTCACAGGCCCTTTGAAAATTGACACGGCGTATCAACCCTTCAAGCCGAAATTGACTGAAAAAAATAAATAAATGCTAAAGATAGGTGGTGGGATAAAAGGTAAACTTAAAGGTAAGTGAAGGTCAAATATACTGTTTCTAAAGGAATACCAATTTTAAACTGTTTTAAAATATTTTCTACAGGGTTTCGGTGAGTTCTACTGGAGAAAACTGAGGAATTTAACTGGAATATGGAATAGGCGGCTTTCCCCAGACCTTCCTAAGAAATTCCATGACAATACGGCCCCTGGTCAAAAACCAAGATTGTCGCAGGACCAAAGGAAAACTCCGGTATGTCTGCGGTCCGCTACCTAATTCCGGGTACTGGAATTGTATAAAAAAGGAAATACTACTAACCTAAACCTACAAATTCGATTGAGACTAACAATTCACATTCGTGTAGCAGCGCGTCACCTGCCATTTTATAGGCTGCTTGAACGGGTCTCCACAAATGAGAACTGTTCGTCCAGACGAATTTGTTATTTGAAATTTTAACTGTAGATAAATATGAAACAAAATTAGTAATACTAGTGCGATTAGACGTAAATGCAAATTAGCACGACTAAGCCACTAGAAAGGAACAAGTTTCATATTTGTTTTTGAAAAATAAATGATGTCTTCTCGCGTCTTCGATGAAGCATCGCGCCAGGGACTCTTAATGTAACCTAAACGGGTCTCATCGAAGATATACGGAAAACACATTTATACACTATCACTAACAACTATTACAAACTAACGACATGTTTCAGGCCCCACGTTCTGGGCGCCATTTTGTAACAACCGTTTTCCGAGGATGACGAAAAATCGCAATATTTGGCTTTAAGTGGCGTTGCCGGTATGCTGGCGTTTAGCGCGGCTATGGCTCGTCGGGTGAGGGGTGGTTCTTGCCACTTGAAGACCTTTTCGGTTGAACACAAAAAAAATATCATACCGGGCTTGCACGAATATCTAAAAGGGGAATATTATTAGAAGCCTAAAACATGCCTAAAAATACAAAAAAAACTACACTTGTCTACCAAAAACTCAATCTTAAACTCACTTTAACCCAATTCTTTCCTCCGGAAACAGCTCTCTTGGCGGCTGTCCGACCAAGAGATAGCCCTCCCACCGAGAACACCTCTCGCCATGACGTCACCACTCCCTGACGTCCCAAATTTGACCCTTCACTTACCTCCGTTTAAACCATCCCTACCACCTTCTTAATGGCCTTAAGCCAACGACATCATCTTCATTTGGAAGTATACAATTTTATTACACCTATTGTACATTACATATTGATTTATACTATCAATCAATGAAAAAAAGCAGGAAACGTAATTATTAACTCCATAAAAAAAAATTAATTCCAACTCTAAGCTCCTTCTCTTTCTTTTTCCTTTTCAGGGTTCGATGGCGGGTATCAAGAGTTAGGACCACTGACGGCAGCTAATGGACAAGGTTCTTCCCAAAGAGTAAGTACGTAATAGTATGAAGTTTAGCTTTATAACTACATTCCCGGTTCAAGATTAAAAAAATGATAATTTATTTTCCAATTCCAGGCCAGGACAAACAAAAGGCAGTATGTCGACACCACAAAAACAATCGACGAGAAAAAAAAGTGGATACCTAACCTCGAAATGAGCTCAATTCAACGAGGGATCCTGCACTGCAACACCAGGCGAGTGAATCTTAAATTAAACTTCTTTTGTTTACCCCTTTTTATTTAAAAATTGTACTTTTCTTTTCAGGAAAACCGCGGAATCTAATTATGTCGCCTCGTCGTCCGTCTGTCTGTCCGGAGTTTATAGTGACGTCTATAGGGAAGATACCAAGTCACGCTGGTATAGCAGTGACGGAAAATCTGCGCCTCCCTCGATGGATTGGATGGGCGATGGTGTGGCTCTTTACTCCAAAAATTCTGCCAGGACTTAATTTTTAAGATTTTTCTTAATTTTCTTTGTATTTATTAAGTTTTGTTTCAAGCTTAATTCAGTTTCGTTTTGTTTTAATTTTAATTCATTTTCATTTTGTTTAAACTTAATTCAGTTTTGTTTTGTTTAAACTTTAATTCATTTTCATTTTGTTTAAAATTTTGCCAAACTTTAAGATGTTTATTTAGTTTTTGTATAACTATTAAGAATACTTTCAGGTTTAGTTCTTAAATGTTCACATTTTAGCTTTTTAAATTTTATATTTTGTTTTAAGATTTATATTTTGTTTTAAGATTTAAGCCTTTTTAGCAAAAAAAAAAGGTTTGGATTTTGTATTCTTTTCATTTATTTTGTTGAACACATCAAATTAATAAATGTAATTCCTTTTACTTATGGAATTTATCGCCAAAAAAAAATGCCGGGTGTTTTACTTCGCTGGGAGCTGGGAGCCACGCATCCAATCTTCTTCGCTGATGAGATAAAAAGGAAAGAATTTTCTTACAATTTCTGCCAGGAAATTCTGGCTGCCATTTTCCTCGTTTAATTTGTCCATTTTCTTTTTAAATTATTCCCCCTTATTGACATTTAAGTCATTGGAATAAACAGCTGTTCCCTAATAATGGTTGACAACATTCTTCTTCTTCTTCTGGCTATCAATTATTTTCATGGTTACCCCTTTTTAAGGCGCACACCACATGTTATAACGTATCAGCTCTATTTGGCAACTAGTCTTGGTATTGGTTGGTTGATTTTGCTCTTTCACCTTTACCTTGAGCAGGAAATGTCAAATACTCGTGATTAGCCGGCTACGTAACGTAAATGTATGCAACGGAAATGTTAACGGAGGAAAGTGAACGTAACGGTAGTATTGGGTGTATGGAAGAGGAATTTTTATAAAATTTAAGAAAATAAATAAAAAATTATAGAATTGCGAAAGATGACATGAAAACCTTTTGACGTAGAGGAAAAGCATTCACAATTCATGTTTTTTTTAACAACTATAGTATTTACTTAATTACCTTAGTGCAAAGCAGCTTCGTAAAACTGCGGAAATGTAGCCGTGAGTCTAGTACCACTTCCTGTCAGAAATATTCAAATTTAAAAGCTACAAGTTTAACTTATTTTTTCGATATTTTGTCCCATTTTTTAATGGATTAAAAGCTCAAAGATGAATGAAATATCTGGATTTTCATACAAACTATGATCCAAAATGTTACATGATTTTGTTCCATAACAAAATTGTTTACTATCTTTACTACGAACCCACAAATGTACGCTTCTTCATTATTGGTTTTTAAATTTTTCAAAGTCCCGAAATTATTATTTTTTTTTAAATCACAATTATAAAAAAAATAATTTAAAAAAATCTATTATTATACAAAAAATTCCTCGATTCTATAAAACTATTTAAAAAACTCTATAATGAAAAAACTATTTTCTAAAAATTTACAATTATAGAGAAAATATTAAAAATTTCAAAACATTTTTATTAATAGGTTATATTACAAAACAATATATATTTTAATAGAAAACCCTATGTAGACATTTTATGCATCCATACAGGCCAACATATCATCGACTTCTGTGTCATTCATTTCCATCTCCTGCTGAGATAGCGCCACTTTTGGTTCCAAATCGGCGCTGAATTCAAGACTATAGAAATCTTTTTCCTTCATTTGTTCATCCAGTGAGGGTTCACCAATGAAACACAAGCCCAGCTCGTGTTTGACAACAACTTTATGCCAAAAGACCGACAAATGACGATTGACAACTTCGGATTTTATGCTGCTAATCCATTTGTTATATTCCTCGAATGCATTAAAAATGAAAACCCGCTTACGGTAAACGGAAAGGGCGGCAGTGATTTTTTCAAAATCTTGTGGTGTCATCGATTCCGTTTGACATATTAAATTCTTGACAACCGAACGCAATTGCAGGGCATAATGATTGAATTTTAGATCACGTTGTGTACTATCTTGTATGGGAAATACATGGGCCTTTAACAGCTTTTCAAAGTCCTCGGCTGGATTTGTTTTGCCCACTTTATCAAAGGATAATTTGATGTTATTATTTTCTTCTTTTGTCTTTGCCCCGGCCTCTTGTTTGGTCACCTCTTTGGCCTGGGAAGCCTTGGCTTTTTTCAACCATTCATCGCTTACTTCAAGCGGGAATAGTTTTTTTACGCGTTTAGCGGCATTTTTAGCCTGTTCTTCAATGGCTTCGGGTAGCTTCCAAAAGGCTTCAACAAAATTTTTATCTTTTAACATTTCCTGGAATTGTTCATCATCTTCACCGGCCTTGCACAGGATTTTACGTTCCAATAAATCCATGAAATTATGCTCAAATATATGTGGCAAATGGCAAAACGGCAGGGCATTTTTTTCGTATGTCTTACGTGGCGTCTCGGAATCTTGGGTTTTCAATGTTAAATCCATGCTATCGATTAGATTATCAATGGCATTTAATTGATCCTCAGAGCATTCTGTGCGTTCGGAGCGCAGCCGGGGAAACTCAAAGAAATGATACTGAGAATGATGTGCCATTTCCATCATATTCAAGCTGGCTGGGAAATTATCTTCTAACTAAGGGAAAACAATTGCAATAAACACAAAAAATATACTTCTTTTAAGTTTCTTACCTCATTTGGCATAAGTACAACCATACGTGGTTTACTTTTGGCCCCAAAGACTTTCCAGCAGAATATAACCCGTTCCGTATCTAGAAGAGCTCGCACCAAAGCATCTAATCTTTGAGCCGAAGATTTCATGCCACGACGATGCAATATTAAGTACGTCGAATCTCCAGCAAAATATTTATTATGGACATGTTTACGTTCCATGAAACCGATAAAAGTTAAACCCGGATCCAATTTCAATTTATCATCATCCATACTGTCATCATAAGGTATAGCCGAGCCACCCAACATATAACCATCCATTAACTCTTCAATATCAACATCGATTTCTTTACCTTTCATAAAATAACCCCATTCACGTCTGAGAACTTCATCCGGTTCATTCCAAACTTTTTTCAATTTTATGGTAGTTTCATCTTTAGTGGTAATCACCCCCGATATGTTGATGACAATTTTTGTGCCAATACGCAATTGACTATTCCAACACCAGGGTCTGGTATTTTTAAATTTCAGTGCCGCCGCTACAGCTTCCGTTAAATTGCAAAGTGTGGCATTACATTCGGAAACCAATCGCAAGGCATATTTTTCATTTTCCAAACGCTGTGCAGATTTCTTGCCCGAATCAAAAATGGCTTGTGGCAGATAATCGTTGGCGGGATTATCAATATAGCATATATCGGGAGATCTGGAAAAAAAATAAATAAATAAAATTAGATTACAAGGACGAGTTTAAAGAGTTCATAAGGTTAAAGATGGATTTGCCTTTTGAAGGTCATAATTCGTGCCAAAGCTGACCAATTCGAAAAAATCTAAACTTTTTCTAAAATTTGATGCTATTTCCTAAATTTTTGCTTTGATTCAACAAAATTAAAAAAAAAATGTAAAATGTATGGCGTTTGACTTTGTTGCCGTTTTTTTATCTCACTCTGTATATGGGAGCTATATCCTAATCTGAATCTATCTTGACAAAATTTAATATACTTATATCAGGGCTGTATCTGATATCTGGTACTAAAGATCATAATTGTGGAATGCATATTAGGCTTGTGAGGGACCTTAAACCCTATAGCTATATCTGAACCGATTCTCATCAAAACTTATGTACTTGCTTCTAGACTGAATTCGGTGGGATGTACCAAAATTCAGGTCATTTGGACTGACATTGGCCATTTGGTGCACAATTAACTCCAAATCTGTTGGAGATATATATGGGAGCTATATCTAAATCTGATCCGATTGTCAACAATTTCAATAGGGTTCGTCTTTAGGCCAAACAAATATTGTTTGGAAAATTTCAGCTCGATCGGATAATGACATACATTTTGTTCACTAGGGTATGACATACAATCGACTCAGAAAGCGATTCTATGAAGATCCTCAAGAGTAACTATGGGTCTATCTCGCTTCCTTCTCTATGTTACAAACAAATGCACAAGGACATAATATCCTTACCACTATATGGCGTAGGTTATAAAAATTTCTGGTGTTACCAACTTCGGACGTTAGAAGGGGCTAGATAGCTCAATATTATCAGATAGATTTTTAATAAGAAGGTTCTGGGGAGATGCCTTTCGTTGGGAGTTTCATGTGATACCTGTAGGGTCTTTTAGGCAGGGATTAAAATTAAAATTCTTAAAAAGACGTTAGAGTTTAATAGCACCAGTCTATCCTTATATGAACTATAGACTAATATAGAGCAACATCCAAGCTTTAAGAGGTGCCTTTCGTTGGGAGTTCCATGTGATACGTGCAGTTACTTATAGGCTGAGATTTATTGTGAAATCTGTAAACAAGGCGTTACGCTTCAAGATAATGAGACTAATTCCTAAAAATCTCACCATTAATTGCATTAAAGTGTGAATTAAATTATTTTGCATAGAAGTTTGAACCCATGAAGACAGTTCAATTGGCTCCTTAAAACCTATAAATGTACTAGCAGTTGCAGCACATTTCTAACAGCCTACATTTTCTGTAAATTTAGTAACAATTCTAAGGCTATGGGAACAATTTTAGACCCTTCCTTCTTTCTGACATGTTGTCTTCTTCCTTAATTGTATGGATGTTAGCTTTATTCTTTAATTTCCTCCTTCCCTCCCCTTTTAGATGTTCATGACTTACACAACAATCAATTCCACCTGATTACTCAGCAACGTTTCGGTTATTTCGCTAAAGTACTTGTACGAATTGTATTCATCATTGAAATCATAGAACAAAATCAAACGTGAACGCTGTATTTTGGCATGTCTGAAAGCATAAGAACAGAATTAAAATCCGTAGTAATAATAAAAAATACGATGCTTCCAACTTACTCCTTGCCCTTCTTCAATAAAGCATAGGCCACAGCTAACGCATCCAACCATTCGCCATTCTCCGATGGCGTTTCATTGACAAATTGATAGAAATTCATTAGCAATTTCCATGTGGGTATTTGTAGCTCTCCCGTATACTGGACAACATTTAAATAGTCATCTTCACAATCGTTGGTATTGATATCGTTATAGGTACGATCAGTACCCACCAGCACAAAGGATAGATAATCCTTTTTGCCGGTACAAATCTAAAGAAAAACAAGAGATTGTAAACATTTGTATATTATGAAGATGCTATTTGCAATAGCTCCATTATTTACCTTCCGTTTAATTATATTCGCACAACACTTGGTGGCTTTTTCCTTAAACTCTTCCGAGGCTGTGCGTCGAACATCCAAAATCAATATCATATATTCCTGGATTGAAAAAAGGAAATGTTTATTATTTTATTTAACAAAAAATTAAAAATAATATCCAATTTTACCTTGTTGTAAGCCATTTGTTTATTGGTTTAAAACAATGTTTTTGTTTGCGAGGCGGTAGTCCACTGCATACAAGTTGTGAAATTACGCCGGTGCTTTCAATTTCCCATCCCTGTTAAAGGTTGCCACAGCTGTTCAAGTATGCATTACCTCTTTATGAAATTCTGGGCCACCCTGTTATGAACATTTGTTTTTGTTGAAACACAAGACTATTGCTCTATTTTCCTTCCTAATTTTCCTTCAATTTCATAAAGGGAAAGTCGGTTATCATAGCAAAAACTTATACATTCTTGCAGTTCTGGAACAGACCATGTGTTTTCAACCCATGTTTACAAAGGACACAAAAATTAATCTTAAATAAAGGGTGATTTTTTAGCAATTATCTCTTTAGCTATTATCTTTATGGGCTGGCAGGTTCAACCCATACTTCTTCAAATATACTGAGAATCGTAACGTAAATGTGAGTGGTGAACGCTACCGTAAATGATATCCCACTTTTGTTTGCCAAAAAAAAAAAATTTTTTGTTTGGCTCAAGGACAAACCCTATTGAAATTGGTGATAATATATATATATATATATATATATATATATATATATATATATATATATATATATATATATATATATATATATATATATATATATATATATCTTCAACCGATTTCGGCTTAATTGTGCACCAAATGGCCAATTTCAGTCAAAATGTCCTGAATTTTGGCACATCCGTCAGTTATAGCTATAACTGCCATTTATATGTTTCGTTCGATTGGGGGGTTTAGGTCCCTCACATGCGCAATATGCACTCCACAAGAATGATATTTGGTACCGGACATCAGATTCCACACGAAAATACCTCTGTCAAATTTTATTGGGGTCGGTTCAGAATGGGATATAGCTCCCATATATATCTTTGTCCGATATCAGGTATATTTTACACCAAATGGCTAATATTAGCCCAAATGAATTTTGGTACTTCGTCTACATATTTTGTCTAGAAGCAAGTACATCAAATATAGCTATAGCTCCCATATATATGCTTCATTCGATTAATGTTAAATCCCTCACATGCGTAATATGCACTGCACAACAAAGATATTTTATACAGCAAATCAAATACAGACCAAATTTTATCGGGATCGGTTCAGATTTTTATATACCCTCGATTATTGTCCACCTTATATGTAATATCAGCCCAAATTGGATAGAGTTTTTCATATTCAACCGAATTTTTCCATTTGTTGAAACTCAGTGTGGTATATCTATTGATCCAATAAATATTTTTTAACAGTCGGTACTGCCCTACTTTTGACCTTTCCTTACTTTTTTTCTTTGAACTTTCCTATAGCTCTTAAAAAACGCCCTTTATCAAACTTCGTTCTTTCACATATTGCAACGCTCATAGTCACCCTGTTTTTTGTGGAACTCATTATCGACAGACAACAACAAGCCTTGGGGTTGCACGCTTCCATTTTATGTCAATTGCTGGATTAAGTAATCCCGCCTAGATTAGGGCAGTTGAATTTTGAATTTTATTCGGCTATAAACTCTTACATATTCCATTTATTCCACATCACCCTGTTGCGACAGCTGTTCGAATGTTTTCAAAAGTATTGCGAATTTTTGTTCTTTCAGTGACTCACACCAGACATTTCAGAGTAAGCTCGTCATTATCTCCTGTGCAACAAACTTGGCAACTTCCGAAGAGCATCTGCACCAATCGAACATTCACAAGCATGTCTAAAGAATCTCAAGAAGTGAAATTTGCCGAATTTGTTCCATCGCTGGCGATGGACAAACTTTTGCAAATTTACGAGGAAGCCATGGATAACAAAATCGATGTTGACTCCGAAGACCATGAGGAAATATGGTTAGAGTTTTCTGAAGCGGTAACCGGCTGTATTTGGAAGATTGTTTTCACTGCGAAAAGTCTCAGTAAAGAAGATTCGGATAAAGCAAGTGCATTGCTAAAGAAGTATCGGGATGATGCGGGATTTATTAATCCCACATTTTACAACAAGTGGATTTATACCTTCAGAGATGAGTTGCTGAAGAAGGAGGTGTTGGATTTTTGGAAAAATGAAGTTGTGGCAAAGGAATTGGGTCCCTTGTGGGCAAGAGATTGTGACTTTTTTGATAAATCGGATGATCCAGAACCTGTTAAATTTTATCAACATGCCGGCTGTGAGGCTCCGTGGTTGAAAGCAAAGAAACCTGTTGCAGAGCCATTGAATCTTTTTGGCAATACTGCAGCATCCCCCAAATCACCAGGCACTGCCGCTTCTACGGCATCTTTAAGGAAAATAAGCTTAGACAATGCCTTGGCCGATTATAAGAACAATATGGAGGCACAAAACAACATTGATCCCGACGACGAGGAGGCATTTACAAAAATTTTTACCGAAGTCCGTGAGGTTTTGTGGAAATTGTTATTCAATGAATCGTCATTGTCAGATGCAAAATTGAAACAAGCCGCTGAATTATTGTTGGCCTACAAGAAAGATGCATGCTTCCAATCGCCTTATCAATACAACGATTGGATCGTTACGGTTCGTGATGAATTAATTAAGCGTAAATATGTTGATTTTTGGAAAATCGTTGTCAACCAAGAATTGGGTCTTATCGGTGCCAAGGAATCGGATTATTTTGACGATATGGAAGATCCCAAAATACCAGAATTTTATACGATTGGTAACGAAAAGTTAACGCAGGAGAAAAAGTAAATGCCATTGACATTTTGTTTTGTATTAATTTTGTAAGATTGTATATTTTCCTTAATAACAAGCTGAGCTTGAATAATATCACACTTTTATGGCATCCAAACCCTTTACATTGCAGTGCAGCAGCAGCATCAGCAGGGAATCGAATACTAACATATTAAATCAACCATACAACTATTAGACAGTAGAATAGTTTTCCTTAATTTTGTTATAAATATATCAATATTCAACATTGTGTTTGAACTTTAAGTGCATATGATGTACATATAATTTTTGTATTACGATTTTAATAAAGTTTTGTACATTTATTTGAAAAAAAAAAAACTTAAACAAACAGATAAGTTATTAAAATCTTAGAATTGGAACATTAATGGGGAATTCAAATGGTTAAAGTTCAGCACTCTTGAGTTTGGAATTTAATGTGCAGCTTCAAATGCACACCCTACACCATGTAAAGAAGGTTTTTTTAAGATTTTTCTTCCGTTTGTAGCTCGTGAAAATAATAATTTAAGACCCAATAAATAAGGATACACGCAGGGCGGAGACCAATCCTGTGTTATAAAAAATCTGAATGGATTCATTTTCTTATAGTGTAGGGTATTCAAAATTCGGCCCAGACGAACATAATGCCTTTTATATTTGTTTTGTATCACCCAGTTTACACAGCTGTTTCAATGTTTTTTTTTTCAAGTATTGCGATGTTTCAAATATTGCAATTTTCAGTGACTCACATCAGCATTAGCATCATAACAAACTTTAAACGTTCTAAAAACAACATTCACAGCCATGTCTAAAGAATCTCAAGAAGTAAAATTTTGCGGATTTTTACCCTCACTACCAAAAGAAAAGCTTTTACAAAACTTCGAAGAAGCCAAACAGAAAATTGATGTAGACTCTGAGGACCACGAAGAAATATGGGAAGAATTTTCAAAAGCGGTTACCGGCTGTATTTGGGAAATAGTTTTCAGCACAAAAATTTCCAATTTCGGATAAAGCCAGTGCCTTACTGAAGCAATATCGAGATGAAGCCTTGTTGATTGATCCAACATTTTACAATAAATGGATTTACGACTTCAGAAATAGATTCTCTAGTCTATTTGATTTTTGGAAAAATGAAATGGTGGCCAAGGAATTGGGTCCACTATGGGCTAGAGATTGTGACTTTTTTGATAAGATGGATGATCCGGAGCCTGCCAAATTTTACCAACTTGCCGGTTGTGAGGCGCCTTGGTTGAAGGAGAAGAAATCTGAGGCAGAGCCACTTATTCCCTACGACAGTGCAAAGACAGTTGTTTCAAAGGCATCTTTGAAGAAAATAACCCTGGATAATGCCCTGGCAGACTATAAGAACAATATGGAGGCACAAAATAATATTGATCGCAATGATGAGGAGGCTTTTACCAAAATATTCACGGAAGTTCGTGAGGTATTGTGGAAATTGCTTTTTGATGAACCTTCATTGTCGGAAGCAAAGGCGAAACAAGCTGCCGAATTGATGTTGGCATACAAGATAGATGCATGTTTCCAATCGCCGTATCAGTACAATGATTGGATCGTCACAGTTCGTGATGAATTATTCAAACGGAAATTTGTTGATTTTTGGAAAATCGTTGTCGATCAAGAATTGGGTCTTATCGGTGCCAAAGAATCAGATTACTTTGATGATATGGACGATCCAAAAATTCCAGAATTTTACAAGATTGGAAACGAGAAGTTAAAGCAGGAGAAAAATAAGTAATTGCCATTGACATTTTGTTTTGCCTTAATTTTGTAAGATTGTATATTTTCCTTAATAACAAGCAGAGCTTGAATGGTATGACACTTTTATGGCATCCAAACCCTTTACATTGCAGTGCAGCAGCAGCATCAGCAGGGAATCGAATACTAACATTTTAAATCAACCACACAGCTATTAGACAGTAGAATAGTTTTCCTTACAATTTTGTTATAAATTTACGAATATTCAACATTGTATTTGTACTTTAAGTGCATATGATGTACATAAAATTTTTGTATTACGATTTTAATAAAGTTTTGTACATTTATTTAAAAAAAATCCTTTTTGAAAAAAGTTAAACAGTTAAGTTATTAATTAATTAATCTTAGGATTGGAACATTAATGGGGAATTCAAATGGTTAAAGTTCAGCACTCTTGAGTTTGGAGTTTAATGTGCAGCTTAAAACTCACACCCTACACCATCTAAAGAAGATTCTTTTAAGTTTTTTTCTTCCGTTTGTAGCTCGTAAAAATAATAATTTTAGACCCTATAAATAAGGATAAACACAGCGCGGGGACCATTAGTGTTATAAAAAAATCAGAATGGATTAATTTTCTTATAGTGTAGGGTATCCAGAATTCGGTCCAGACGAACATAATGCCTTTGATATTTGTTTTGTATCACCCAGTTTACACAGCTGTTTCAATGTTTTTTTTTTTTTCAAGTATTGCGAAATATCAAATGTTTTCAGTGACTCACATCACCATTAGCATCATAACAAACTTTAAGCGTTCTAAAAGCAAAAACTACATTCACAGCCATGTCTAAAGAATCTCAAGAAGTAAAATTTTCCGGATTTTTACCCTCACTACCAAAAGAAAAGCTTTTACAAAACTTCGAAGAAGCCAAACAGAAAATTGATGTAGACTCTGAGGACCACGAAGAAATATGGGAAGAATTTTCAAAAGCGGTTACCGGCTGTATTTGCGAGATAGTCTTTAGCACAAAAATTTCCAAAAAAGAAGATTCGGATAAAGTCAGTGCCTTACTGAAGCAATATCGAGATGAAGCCTTGTTGATTGATCCAACATTTTACAATAAATGGATTTACGACTTCAGAAATAGATTCTCTAGTCTATTTGATTTTTGGAAAAATGAAATGGTGGCCAAGGAATTGGGTCCACTATGGGCTAGAGATTGTGACTTTTTTGATAAGATGGATGATCCGGAGCCTGCCAAATTTTACCAACTTGCCGGTTGTGAGGCGCCTTGGTTGAAGGAGAAGAAATCTGAGGCAGAGCCACTTATTCCCTACGACAGTGCAAAGACAGTTGTTTCAAAGGCATCTTTGAAGAAAATAACCCTGGATAATGCCCTGGCAGACTATAAGAACAATATGGAGGCACAAAATAATATTGATCGCAATGATGAGGAGGCTTTTACCAAAATATTCACGGAAGTTCGTGAGGTATTGTGGAAATTGCTTTTCGATGAACCTTCATTGTCGGAAGCAAAGGCGAAACAAGCTGCCGAATTGATGTTGGCATACAAGATAGATGCATGTTTCCAATCGCCGTATCAGTACAATGATTGGATCGTCACAGTTCGTGATGAATTATTCAAACGGAAATTTGTTGATTTTTGGAAAATCGTTGTCGATCAAGAATTGGGTCTTATCGGTGCCAAAGAATCAGATTACTTTGATGATATGGACGATCCAAAAATTCCAGAATTTTACAAGATTGGAAACGAGAAGTTAAAGCAGGAGAAAAAGAAGTAATTGCCATTGACATTTTGTTTTGCCTTAATTTTGTAAGATTGTATATTTTCCTTAATAACAAGTTGAGCTTGAATGATATGACACTTTTATGGCATCCAAACCCTTTACATTGCAGTGCAGCAGCAGCATCAGCAGGGAATCGAATACTAACATTTCAAATCAACCACACAGCTATTAGATAGTGGAATAGTTTTTCTTACAATTTTGTTATAAATTTACGAGTATTCAACATTGTATTTGTACTTTAAGTGCATATGATGTACATAAAATTTTTGTATTACGATTTTAATAAAGTTTTGTACATTTATTTAAAAAAAACCCTTTTTGAAAAAAGTTAAACAAACAGTTAAGTTATTAATTAATTAATCTTAGGATTGGATCATTAATGGGGAATTCAAATGGTTAAAGTTCAGCACTCTTGAGTTTGGAGTTTAATGTGCAGCTTAAAACTCACACCCTACACCATGTAAAGAAGGTTCTTTTAAGTTTTTTTCTTCCGTTTGTAGCTCGTAAAAATAATAATTTTAGACCCTATAAATAAGGATACACACAGGTTGGGTACCAAGAGTGTGTTATAAAAAAAATCAGAATGGATTCATTTTCTTATAGTGTAGGGTATCCAAAATTCGGCCCAGACGAACATAATGCCTTTGATATTTGTTTTGTATCACCCAGTTTACACAGCTGTTTCAATGTTTTTTTTTTTTTTTTGTTCAAATATTGCGAAATTTCAAATGTTGCACCTTTCAGTGACTCACATTAGCCGGGTTTGCTTTAGCATCATACAAACTTTAAGCGTTCTAAAAACAAAAACAGCATTCACAGCCATGTCTAAAGAATCTCAAGAAGTAAAATTTTCCGGATTTTTACCCTCACTACCAAAGGAAAAGCTTTTACAAAACTACGAAGAAGCCAAACAGAAAATTGATGTAGAGTCTGAGGACCACAAAGAAATATGGGAAGAATTTTCAAAAGCGGTTACCGGCTGTATTTGCGAGATAGTCTTTAGCCCAAAAATTTCCAACAAAGAAGATTCGGATAAAGCCAGTGCCTTACTCAAAAATTATAGGGATGATGCCTTATTGATTAATCCAAAATTTTTCAATAAATGGATTTATGACTTCAGAAAAAGATTCTCAAGTCTATTGGATTTTTGGAAAAATGAAATGGTGGCCAAGGAATTGGGTCCATTGTGGACAGGAGATTTTGAACTTTTTGATAGATTTGATGATCCAGAACCCGGTAAGTTTTACCAACTAGCCGTTTGTGAGTCTCCATGTTTGGAAGAGGTGGTATCTGCTGTTTCGACGGCATCTTTGAAGAAAATAAGCCTAGATAATACATTGGCAGACTACAAAGACAACATGAAAGCACAAAAAGACATTGATATAAATGATGAGGATGCTTTTACAAAAATTTTCACAGAAGTTCGTGAGGTATTGTGGAAATTGATATTCGATGAACCTGCATTGTCGGAGACAAAAGCGAAACAAGCCGCCGAATTATTATGGGCATACAAGGTAGATGCATGTTTCCGATCGCCGTATCAGTACAATGATTGGATCGTCACGGTTCGTGATGAATTGGTCAAACGCAAATTTGTCGATTTTTGGAAAATAGTTGTCGATCAGGAATTGGGTCTCATCGGTTCCAAGGAATCGGATTACTTTGATGATATGGACGATCCGGAAATTCCAGAATTTTATAAGATTGGAAACGATAATTTAAAGATGGAGTCCAAATAATTGTTTCCCATAAATGATGGCGAAAATATTTATGTATTATTAACTTTTGTAATCATATGGTCTGTTCCAGATCTGCATGAGTGTACAATTTAATTTTTCTACTATGGTACCGATTTTCCCTTTATGTTTATGACTAAGCTGCACTTAGACACAAGACAATAAATACCTCTTTTGTGGCATTTATGCCCTTGAATATCAGTGAGATTCGAATATTAATAGTACACTCCTCCCGACAGCTATGAGAAAACCAGGTAGTTATACCCTACACCACAAGGTGGTCAGGGTATTATGTCTTTGTGCATTTGTTTGTAACAGGCAGAAGGAAACGAGATAGACCCATAGTTCCTTTTGATGATCTGCATAGAATCACATTCTGAGTCGATTTATGCATGTCCGTCCGTCCGTCTGTCCGTCCGTCCGTCTGTCCGTCCGTCCGTCCGTCCGTCTGTCCATGTATTTTTGTAAACAAAGTACAGGTCGTATTTATTGCCCGATCCAGATGAAATTTTGCACAGATCATTTGTTTGGCCCAAGGACGAACCCTATTGAAATTGGAGATAATCGGTCAAAATTTAGATATAGCTCCCATATATATTTTCGTCCGATTTGCCTTTTATTGTGCACCAAACGTGTAATATCAGGCCGAATTTTATGGAATTTTGCATATACACCCAAATTAGGCCTGAAAATATGTATGCCAAATTTGATCGAAATCGGTTCAGATAAAGCTATAGCTCCCATATATATTGTTCATCCGATTTGCTATTTTTGTCCACCGCCGCCGTAATATGCACTCTGCAACAACAATATTTGGGGAAATATATCAAATACAGCTCAGAAATACATTTGCTAAATTTTATCGAGATCGGTTCAGATTTGGATATAGCTCCCATATATAACTTCGTCCGATTTACTTTTTATTGTGCACCAAACGTCTAATATTTGTCCAAATGGGATGGAATTTGGCACTTACGACCGAATTGAGTCTAGAAGCTAGTATGCCAAATTTGATGGAAATCGGTTCAGATATAGCTATAGCTCCCATATATATTGTTCATCCGATTTGTTATTTTTGTCCACTGCCGCCGTAATATGCACTCCGTAACAACGATATTCAGGGAAATATATCAAATACAGCTCAGAAATATCTTTGCCAAATTTTATCGAGATCGGTTCAGATTTGGATATAGCTCCCATATATATCTTTATCCAAATGGCAGTACAATTCCGAATTTAAAAGATACATATGCTTCGGCATATTTAGTCTTTTGAACTTTAAGTTATAATTATAATCATAGTGTGTATGATTGAATTCTCCCATAAAAACTTTTAATTGTTATGTGTAGCTCTACTAAATTAGCAAAGTGGTGTAGGGTATCATAAAGTCGGCCCCGCCCGACTTTAAGACTTTCTTTACTGGTTATCCTTGAATTTATTATATTATTTATATAGTTATTTATGTAGATACATACATACATTTAGTTTTTATTTATTACCTTGATATAAATAAAATTCTGTTAGATTATTTATGCGTTTAAAAATGGAACATGTAAAGACAGGTTGGGTTGTCATTAATCAAAAAGCAGTACTAGCTTGGAAGGAAAATATTAAAAATATTGGAAATCTTTAATTTTAGGTAGGAATATTAAGCCACTAAAATTGTTGATGTCCAAAAAATAGTGGAACTCTGAGTATTAATGATTTCAGACTTATGCATTTTCTTTATAAGAACAGTCAGGTTATTTACATATAAAAATTTAATTATACCCTCAGCCATATGGCTAGAGAGGGTTTATATAATTTAATAGGCCAAAATGTGTCTCATTGAAATACGGTTTTACACCCTAGGTCTCTTTTGACCAAATCCGTTTCAAGGGAGTATCCGATTTGGTCCAAACTTGTTACATCGTGATATTATTATGAAACATAGATCGAATTCGGAGATGGGCATTGTCGGTCCACTCCTTCTGGTACCTCCCCCCAAATGCCGACATTTCAAAAAAAAAAAAATAAATAATAAAAATAAATAAAATAATGATAGTTTACTGCACAGAGAGAGAGAGAAAGGATAATCCGATTTTGCTCCAACTTTCCAAATCCTAATATTTGCATCATTGCTAAGACTGGTGTGAAGGTGGAATATATCGGTCCACTCCTTCTGGTACCTCCCCTACAAAAGGTCGACATTTTCAAAGAAAATAATTTACTGCCCAGAGAGAGAAAGGATAATCCGATTTTGCTCCAACTTTCCAAATCCTAATATTTACATCATTGCTTGGTCTGGTATGAAGGTGGAATATATCGGTCCACTTCTACTGGCACTTTCCCCACAAAGGGTCAAAATTTTGAATAACCATGAAGCTCATAAAACGTGAAATTAACATCTGATTTCATTCAGACTTGGTACATCTCAATATTTCCATCAACACAAGATCTGCTATAAAGATGATACAAGATTTTGAAAAACAAAACACTCAAAGAAAACGAAAAAAGCATCGAATTCTCTTCAAATTTCACACATCCATACATTTTTGCTAACCCAAGCTTTGTTGTGAATTTGATATTTTTCAGGAACTCCTTCCGATACCTCACCCACAAAGGATCACAATTTTCCTTTGTCATAACATGCTCCACAAGTCAGCGATTCTTTAAAACTAAATATTTCTCCTGAGATGAGTATGGATTTTATGATTTCGGATGGATGGATTGATTTGGATATAAATGTTCGATTTTCTTGTAATTTTTGTTTTTTTCAATAACTCTCTGTGACCTTCTTTAATGTTATTTTGCGGGGAAAAATTTAAAAATATATCCCAACAAATTACTGGCCAAACTTCTTATTGATTGGACGTCCCCTCCCGCTATATATTTATTGCAAAATACATACAAAGATGGGCATGTCTAAATCATATCAGGAGATTATTGCTAAGCCAATATTATGGGTACGTATTTTATATTATTACATGGCCACATTGTCTGTTGCTATAGTAAAAACCTCTTATTTTTTTCCAATTCAATCATACCCAGTTTCTGTATTCCACAAAGTTATTGAATAACCTCTTCTAGTATTTTAGAAATTTGTCATCGTCATACACTTCTACATACTATGTACTATACCTAGCCCCTCTACCCACTCTTTTCATTCATATGTTAAGCGTTTGCATGAGATCATTTTGGTTTAGTTTGTTTTGATTGTTGAGTCAGTTGATAAAATTTTAGCCGGTGACATGTCAAGCGAATTTTCCAAAGACGACACTACTAAATTCAATGTTTCCATTTCCGATGTGGATCCGGTAAAAGATTATGAAAATCTTATGGAAAATCGTCAACACTATGATCCAGAATCGGGTGTAATTTTTGCTGAAATATGGGAACAAATTTGTTATGCAGTATGTGATTGTATATGGAAGTTATTGTTCGATGATACCACGCCAAGTGAGGATCAGATCAATAAAGCTAAGGAGTTATTAAAGAAATTCCGGCTGGATTCAAAAATAATTAATCCTTATGTTTATAATGGTTTCCAAGATAAATTGCGGGATGAATGTCTTAACCATAACAATTTAAGAGAATTTTGGAAAAGTCTTTTGGAGGATGACGATGATGATGACACAGATATTGCCCCCGCCGTGCCACCGTGTGGTGAAGTTTACTATAACTTTATGTTCAGTCGAATCGTTACACCTCTGAACACAAAAACATCACCCAAACAAGATGTGGTATTAAAATCAGAAGATTTTGATAAAAATCTACCTTTGGCCAAGTTATTGGAGAATTATGAAAGCGCCAAGAAACAAATCGATGCCATACACATTGCAGATGATAAATTTAATGATATTTGGATTCAATTTCACAATTTGATTTGTGATTGTGTATGGAGTTTTATCATCGATGCAAAACCATCTCCCAATGAAGAACAAATAGCCAAGGCGTGTGGCCTTTTGAAAAGATATAGGGATGATGCTGTCTATATTAATTGGTCAATGTATAATGAATGGATGGAAAAGTTTCGTGAACAATTATTGGAGAATGGAATGGAAGAGTTTTTGCAAAAAGAAATCATTGCCAAACAATTGGGGCTTTGTCGTTCGTTTCGGGCAATGCAGGAAAATCAAATCTTGAAGGCAGTTAATTTACAATTTGCGGCAACAGAAGTGGATTTTAGTGAATTGCAAGCTAAATTGCCACTGGCCGAACTCTTGGATCTTTATCACAATGCCATGGACAATAAAATGGACATGGATTGGGAAACCTTCTCCGATATATGGCAACAATTTTCGGAGGCGGTGTGTAACTGTATTTGGCAAATAATGTTTAATGATACGGGGGACACTGCCTCCTTAACTTCTGCACAAATGGAAAAGGCCAGTGTATTACTGAAAACATACCGAGAAGATTCCATTATGATAAATCCCACATTTTATAATGAATGGATTTACAAATTTCGCGATGAATTATTGAAACGTGAATTCTATGATTTTTGGAAAAACGAAATTGTTAAGAAGGAATTGGGTCCATGCTGGGCCAGAGATTCAGATTTCTTTGATGACATGGATGATCCAGAGCCGGCAGAATTTTATAATTATGCCGGATGCCAGGCTGCTTGGTTAAGTGAAGCAGAGGGAAAGGAAACCGCTGAAGAAAAACAACAAAAGCCAGAAATTGCCAACACAACACCAAAGTCAACAAAACCCATTTCCTTGTCAAATCCATTAGAAGACTATACACACAATATGTTGGTGCAAAGGGACTTGGATATGAATGATAAAGCGGCATATAAGAAAATTTTCTCCGAAATAAGACATGTTTTGTGGCAGTTGTTATTTGGAAATGAAGAAAAGTCCTTGTCCCAGGAAACAATTAATAAGGCCTCATCCCTGTTACAGGCTCACAAAGAAGATGCCTGTTACTTTTCACCCTATGAATACAATGAATGGATTGTGAAAGTACGCGATGAGTTGGTGAAGCGCAAATATTGTGATTTTTGGCAAATAATAGTAGACAATAACTTGGGACTTTGCTCTGCCAATGATTCACATTTCTTTCACAATCGACGTGATCCAAAACCCAAGGAATTTTATCGCATTGGTACAGAGTTAATGGCAGTGTAAAACAAATATTAATATTTGTTTATCAATGGATTGCATTTAAACGTTTATATTCGTTACAAGTTTAACTTTCTTTACCAAGGCAGCTAAAGCAGTATAAACTGAGTGCATTTTTATTTTAATATTTATGTATATTTATGAGATTAAATATTTTCTTTAAATATATCTTAAAGTTCCATTATAAATTTAGTTAATGTCTAAATAAATAAAAACTAAAACAAAATTGACTATCGAAATATGATTTCCTTAAACATCTTGGGTGAACGCTTTTTGATATTTATTTATTTATTTATTTAAATCGTTGAAATTAATTGTTATTAAAATATGTTTAATTTGGATAACATTTTTGACGGTGGGCTTGATTGACTTGATCTTGTGACTGCAGAATATAATAAATATATTTTTTAACAGTCCACAACGGTGAGATGAAAAGACTGCAACCAAACTCAGACTGCTTTCATGCCTAAGCCACTCGTCCGACAGCTGTTAAAATTATTCCAGTAACAGCTCATTATATTGTTTACAAGAGTACAAAAGCATTGTGGTGAAAATTTTCCAGAAAAAAGTTATTCGTGCTGGAATTCAAGCGTGACAGTGTCATTTCTTTATATTTAGCCGGAAAACCACAAGTGGCAATCGTTAGAGAACTCCTCCATTTAAATGTGAATAAATCTTTTGTGTCTTGTACCATCGCTCGTTAACGTTATACTGGTAGCGTAGCCCCGCCTCGCTATGGCCGAAAAATGGCTCGCGGGCTGAACCTATCGCAATATTCCATTTGACAAATATTGAAAAATGAGCTCGGGGTAAAGCCATTGAAATTCCAAAAAGTGCAAGAACTTACACCGCAACAGAAAGAAAATAGACTCAAAAGATCTTAATAGTTGCTTCGCTTAACCGAAAGTGGTGAATTGCCGAATTAGGTTTTCTCCGATGAGAAAACATTCGTTGTCCAACAGTTTGTAAACAAACAAAATTATTGTATTTACTTGCCAAAGAGGTCAGCTGAAAATGTGCACCTTCGTTTGGCCACCAAAACTAAAGAGAAACCCGGCCATGGTGATGGTGTGGGCCGCTATAACAGCCGATGATGGCTCTCCACTCATATTAATCGACCGTGGCATCAGAATAAATGCCGAATATTATCGCGAAAATATTCTGGAGGGTGTATTAAAGCCTTGGGCACGCAAACATTCTGGCCGCAGACCTTAGACATTCCAACAGAACTCAGCACCATCGCACTCAGCACGCGCCACCCAAGAATGGTTACAAAATGAGGTTCCTCGCTTCATTTCCAGATACCAATCCGTTGTACTATTGTGTCTGGAGTATTTTGGAGAGCATGGTTGGCACTAAAAAATACGAAAGTGTCGATCATAAGCGCTTCGCCGGGAATAGACCAAAATACGCAGAGCAGCATTCGGACAGCGTGTGACGGTTTCATTGGCCGTTTGAAGGCCATAATTCGTGCCAAAGGTGACCAATTCGAACAAATCTAAACTTATTCTAAAATTTTACGCTATTTCCGACATTTTTTTGCTTTCATTCAATAAAATTTAAAAAAAAAACATGTAAAAATTATGGCATTGGAATTGTTGCAGTTTTTTATCTCACCCTGTATATATCTCTAAAGGTTTATTTCGCAACAAAAACTATAGATTTTGTCGAAACATACGTTACAATGAGCATTTTGAAAATATCTGAGTTTGAATATTTTCTGAACATTTTTTGTTTATTATTGAAAAGAATACACACACATTCTGATATTTCCAAAAACAGTATGTACATAAAATGTAATAGTACGTTTATATATATGAGGGTCAACCCACTGGATTTGAATTTAAATTGTCATATCCATTACTTTTACTTCAAATAAATCCTCTCAAAGTAGGTTAACCCTACAAAAAGTTCTAACGTAAACTTGGCATAAGACTTCCAAGGGATATTAATCCCAAAGATTTCCCAAACTGTAGCCACATTAAAATTTGATTTTTTGGATCTGTTTATGAATCGATGTCTCCAATTTTTTGAAATTTTTAATTCAATAAATTCTGAATTTTGCCGAATAATGTTGGATAGCTTTTTTGCAACGTGCGAGAGAAAATTCTTTCAATACAAGTTTCTGAGTAATTTTGATTGGAAAAGTTATCATAAATACCTATTGACAATTTTTTTGATAGATGACTATTGTTAATAACCGGAGAAACCAAACTGCGCAACTGTTTCAGCTCAAAATTAATTTTTCATAATACCTTAAACACATTTGTAGATATGTATACTATATTCGATATATTTTTAATATTAACTTCTTATCGTCGCCGCAGACCAATGTAAACAAAGGCTAAATGCGTACATTTACTTTGCGCCCTCTTTTCATAAGGGATTACATAGCTATTTGTTTATTTACGTTTTACTATATTTTTAATAATAAGCACTGTAAAATGTAAGGTATGTAACTTCCCAATGTAGTCTATATAGACTACAAAAGCTATAAAAATACAACATAATCAATTCGCCTGTCTTTTAGGAAGATGAACAAACAATAAAGCAGTAAGTTATGCCGGAACGAATTTGAAAAATTTCCAAAAAAATAAAATTAGTTAAAAATTCTGTTAAAATCTTGAAAATACCAAAATAGGAAGTCGCCGTTATATTGGAAGGACCAACATAGGCACATTTTGTCATAGGTCATTACAATATTCAAACACGAAACTTGAAAAAACAATCCGGTGAATAATGCCGCTAAAATCATTAAAATACGGAATCTAGGGAGGTACTGTTATATGGGAGCTATGCGAAGACCTGGACCTGCATAGACAATTTTCTGTCACAGGCTGTAGTACCCATTAGGAATTTCAAATACGACATTTCAAACAATTTCGGTGAATAATGTCGTTAAAATCACCAAAATACTGAATATAGGCAGGTACCGTTATATGAGGGCTATACGAAGACCTGGACCTGCATAGACAATTTTCTGTCACAGGCTGTAGTATCCATTAGGAACTTCAAATAAGAGATTTGAAACAATTCCGGTGAATAATGTCGTTATATGGGGGCTATATGATATCGTGAACCCATCTTCAAACTTGACCTGCCTGCAGACGAAAGAGTGACCTGTGCAAAATTTTAGCTTCCTATCTTAATTTGTTTTGACTCTATCATGATTACAACATGATAGAATTTTGCACTGATCAAGAATATATATACTTTGTACTTAATTAATTGTCTTTAATTATTATTTCGATGAGCTACATACGGAATGACGAACTTAATATACCCTCCATACTGAGTGTGGTGGAGGGTATAAAAAAATAAAAAATCTGCCTTTTGTCTGGGGTCATTTCTATGATTCTACTCCTGTCTAAAAGTTGATAACTGGAATAAATCCGAAAACTGTTGTATGGAGCAGTACAATTAAACCAATTCAAGTGCAAAATCCAAAGGTGGGTTGTAAAAGTATGAAAGCCATCGGAAGCCCATCCCTTTTCACTCTGGCTAATGTTTATACAAGTAACATTAATATATAAAAATATTTATTTCGATTTCCAACTTACCACCCATTGTACCTCACACTATTCAATAAAAATACATTAGCTTTCTTTCAACTTCAATTTGGTATCATGATTTCAGTTTTACTAAATTTGAGCAATTATTGTCTGTAAATGTGTTCTTATCATCTAACTTAAGGCTAGGTTTTGAGTAAATAATTTCCTTAATTATTCTATAAGGCTTGGTGGTGTTATTTTCCGCTGTCGATTGACTGGAATCCAATAGATAATGATACCAATCTAAATTATTGACATTCGGTGTTTCACCACCCAATTCTGAGGGTAAAATGTCCTTAGAAACTAATTCATGTAAAGAGTTCAGATTCGTGCCGTGTATGTAAAAACGTTCTTTGATTTTCTCCTTGAGAAATGGTTTGATGACCGACAAGGCCAATTCCACATACCAGGGTTGGGCTATGAAATGGATACCCTTAAATTTAATGGGCATGCAGTCCTGCAACATAAAAACATTGATTAATAAATATTTTTCCTAAAAACAAAAACACAACTTACTTGTAATCCCTCTATCATGGTTTTAAGTACTTTCGGTGTTAGATGTGATGATTGCTTGAAGGTAAAATTGGTCCAATCAACGATGACCACAAATCCCAAGGCCTGATTCTGTACATCTTCGAGTAGTTTATCCAGTGTCAACAACAACGCTCTGTATATATCCAATAAACTATATTTGCTGGTATTCCAATTTGCTGCGGTAAATGTTATCACCTTACGTCCCCGACGATCCCGTTGATCCAACAGCCCTGGATTACCATCCCTCAGAGCCAATTGAATTTGTTCATCGAATATATTGATATCTTTTAATATTTGAGCATTTGTTTGTTTATATTGTAAATATTTTATTAACAACTCCATGGCGCTGTCACAATCAAACTTTCGAGCGTGCAAGAAACGAGAGAGGAAACAGTCGTCGCTGCAAAAGGATTTCTCTTTCAATGCCAGATTTAAACTTGAGGCTGCCATATCGTTGAATTTCCTCAATAAATACTGATGATTTTTTACCGAGTTGTGATTTTGTTTCACCATCTCGTTGTCATGATAACAGGAGGCGGCCAGCGTCCGGTTGTTATACGCTCGATTAACAGTAAACTCGAAATATTCCGCCATCTGAAAAGATAAGCAAATTAAAATATATTAATTTTAACTTGAAAATAATTGTTTATAATGTAGGGGATAACCTCAAGTGATATTTAAATGTGATCGATAACAAATTGGGTGTAAAAAATTTTAATTAACTGATCAATTCAGGTTAATATCTCAGGCGATTCAGTTTTTTTCGAATTTCGACACAGTCTTCAGAGACAGGTGAGACTCAAAATCCTTCCCAGATTACAAAAGTTAAATTAATATTAATTAAGAACCACAGTTAGGAGTTTAATATTGACCCAGCCAGATGGAGGCTAATTCTCGGACTGTGATAACGAAAAACTATATTTCTCTCATAAAGTATCAAAAGAATTGAGAGGTCGATACCCTTTAAATTGGGTAAATACCCAAGATTTACCCAAATTTTGGGTCATAGTACAAATCATGTGTGTATTGTTTTGAATAAAAAGACAATAAATTGAAATTATTTCAAATATAGATGCAACAAAATTTCATATTTTTCACGTTTACGAGCAAAAAAAAAGTATAATTTTGGGATGAAACTATATTGTCCCTCTATCTTGGATTCAATTTTGTGGAGAAAACCCAATCTTCCATTCATGTTTTGTGAGTTTTCTCCAATATATTAATCTTGTCAAAAAAAAAAATAAAATAAAAAATAAAAATAAAATAAATAAATAAAGTCAATTAAACAATTGACTCAGTTTGATTTTGGCCCTACGATCCTTTGTTATTTTCCGAAGAAGCCAGCCGACGACTTAAGCCAGCCAAATAAAGCTGGAAATACATAAAGCGCATATTTGGCTGGCTTAAGTCATCGACTGGCTTCTTCGGAAATGAACAAAGGAGCCTAGGGCCAAAATCGAACTAAGTCAACCTAAAACTCCTTTGTTCATCTACGAAAAAGCCAGCCGATGACTTAAGACAGCCAAATATGCGCTTTATGTGTTTCCACCCTAAGCGCTTTATGTATTCCCACCTTAAAGGTTTAAGTACATAAGAAGCTTGAAGTCGTGGCTAGGCATATTTTGTGACATTTCATAAAGAAATTACAGAGCCTCACTAAAATCCTGTCGTCGTTTTCCATTATAATTTGACATTAATATGCCTAGCCATGACTTCAAGCTTCTTATGTACTTATACCTTAAGACTCCGGTACAGACATGGTAGAAGAATACAGGTCGATGCATCAGCGCTTGGGAACATTGATATGTCAATTTTTTTTAATGTTTTTCCAAATATAGATTTTTATACCCTACAACACTTTGTGTTGGGGGTATTATAAGTTTGATTAGGCCAAAAATTATGTAACACCTCGAAATATTGATTTCCCACATAGGAAAGTATATATGGATTTTCCTATCTCGCCGAGCTGAGTCGATCTAGCTATTTATGTCGGTCCGTCCGTCTGTCCATGTTAATTTGTAACTCTACAGGTCGCAATTATGGCCCGATCTTCACGAAATTTAGAATGGAGGTGGGGATAAGGTCAGAATAGAACCCTATTTCTTTTGGAGATGATCGCACAATATTTAGGGGTCGAAAAGGACCAAAAACTGAAAAAAATCCTGAATTGGCAGTTGCTCTACAGGTCGCAATTATGGACCAATCGACGCGGAAATTAGCATGGGGCTAAATCTGGGGCAGAAGCCTTCCGATTTTGATGGTCATCGGGTAATATTTAGTAGGTGAAAAAGACTATAATATTTGTGATAATAGACGAACAGGTCAATTCTGACCGTTACGTACAATGTGTACATACAAAGGAAAGGAATGTTAGATGGAATGCTTATACCTCAAGAATGGCTGGACCGATTTCGACAAATTTTGTCAATTCAGAATGCCTTCTTGACATAAAAGTATAAAATCTAAAAAAATCGCATAAAAAAGTCAAAAATTATCTTAATATAGATTTTTTAGTATTTTGTGACATTTTTTTATTTTTTATATTTTTTATCGCATGCGATTTTTTAAATTTGACTTATAATATTAAGGTGTACATTTTGTAATATTTTTCCACCTTACAACACAGGTTTGGGATATTATATACAGATTGCAATTATCGTCCGATCCTCACGAAAAGGGTAGGGTTAGGCTCAGAAGGGCTAGGCCTATTGTTTTCAAAGATGTCCGCAATATATTTAGGAGTTGGAATGGACCAACAACTAAAAATGTTCCTGATTTTGCAGCCGTTATACAAGTCATAAAGAGAGTTTAGGACAGCGTATAGAATGGACCACTACTTTTGTCTGAAAAATACCAACATTACTTACAGGCGATAGCCGAAATACACAAAATGCGAACTTCTGCCTTTTTTGCTGATTTCTTTGACGAATATAGTCAAATATCGTAGACAAGAAGATCGTATAGAAGAGTCTAAATTTGGAGATACAGAGGAGCCTCTTGCTTTTGGAGATGATCGCAAAATACGACGGAGTGCGTAAATATTGGGCAAATGTTCCTGGTGAAAATGCTAAGGGTAATGTCTGGGCAGTGCCTCGTCACATCATTTTAAAAGCGAAATCTTCCAAAATGGATTTGGACATAAGGGGGCTTCTAACATATTGTAGTTTTGTAGGGTATCACATGGTCGGCCCCGCACGACTATAGCCTTTGCTTACTTGTTATATATTTTCTTATGCGACGTCATTTGGAGGTTCTTATAATTCGTGTTTTTCAACAATTTTTACAAATTTAAATAATTTTTCATTCAACATTTTTAATTTCAAAATTGGTTTGACATTTCATTGTCCCAGCAGCTGTGTCGATTCGTCTACCTATATTCTTCTACCATGATAGCAGCAAAACCCAGTAATATCGCGTTTAGATTCAAAACATTATCAGGATTTATTGTCTTATTCGGAATTATTCAACCAGATTTACCAAACAAAAATGGTTCTTCTCACGATCTGATTTATTTTAAATACTGTGCAGAATCTACATACTTAGGGAAAGCACCACTGGGTTTTTGACAGTTCACTCCAAACTCGGAAAAGTTTCCGCAAGTTCGTTGTTTACATTTTTCATTTGAACTAATAATGCAAAAAAAGGCTTAAAATTGTATTTCCTCATGAAAATACATTATTTTTCTAATAGTATGTTTACATATAAATGGGTTAAACCAGTGGATTTGGATTAAAATTGTCATATCCATTAATTAATCTTCAAATAAATCCTCATAAAATAGGTTAACCCTACAAAAAGTTCTAATGTAAACATGGTATTACAGATGGTCACCAACATGGTAGAAGAATATAGGTAGACGCGTCGACACAGCTGCTTGGACAATGAACTGTCAAACCAATTTTGGAATTAAAAATGTTGAATGAAAAATTATTTAAATTTTTAAAAATTGTTGAAAAACGCGAATTATAATAGCCTCCGAATGACGTAGTATAAGAAAGTGTATAAAAATCTACTTATAATTGAAAAGAACATTTATTTTTTTTTTGTCATATCAATGTTCCCAAGGGTTGATGCATCTACCTATATTCTTCTACCATGGTCACCAACGTGAATAAATACATATATTTCAGCATTAGTTTCGTTCGTTTAATTTCCCTGTAACATAACAAAGAAGTTATTGAGAAAAAAATTATGATTTCTTTTCTCATATGAAAATTGTAAAAGGTAAACGAACAGCATAATGCAAAACATTTGTAAGATGACAGCTGATCCATCAACACAACTTTCACGCAAATTTTAGCAGCAGAGTAAATAAGTAAATAATAGGTCTGTTTAATAACACGAAAAATTTTTTCTCAGTAAATGTTCTTAGTAAGAACTTGTAACCTGAGCAATGTAAAAAGCATTGCCAATTCGCTCCCATTTAATGGACTTTGTAATAGATTGTACTAATTATTGGGTAAGCCAAAGTTCGAATGATAATCATTATACAGCAAAATTAAAATGATTGATTTGGTATTTCAATGCGTAACATTACACAGTTAATAAAAATTAAAGATGCAACATCGGCTGCAAGACAATAGGTTAGCTTTTTCATTATTGTCACAATCGATTCCACCCAGATGCTATTTTCTTTTCGAAAAAAGAGCAATGACCCAATTGACCTAAAATTGTAACACAATCTTCTTTTTTATAGGTATTGAAATTGTCAATAAGCTCGTTGCGCCTGTGACAATAACATATTTAACAATGTCTGGCATCGATGCGCAATTTCAATTGTTACAATTGATAAAGAAGATTAAAAAACAAAATTGAATTCGATATCTGTATTACACAAGTTTAAAATGAAAAGAGGACATAAAGGGCTGCAATCGAAATTGCCAAATATATGTGTGTTTATTTCATTTATTTTTTTGTCGTGAGAGTGTATCCAATAAAAAAGATCATTAAATTTGGAAAATTTTATGCATTATATGCTCTATTTCAGAACTGTAAAAACGTACCATATTTTCCTTTTTGACATCGGAAAAAAAATACAAAACTAGTATATTCTTGCAGGTTCTAGAACATAACAATAATATCCTTACATTTTATATATTTTTCCCAAATAAGTACGTACAGATGTCCCAAATACACTTTCTTTACCACAAACGTATTATGTGCGAAATTAAGTCACATTTGGCGCCCAACGTATTTTTTGTTGTCTGTTGTTTTAATCCTAATAAATCGAACTCGATAAAACTAAATAGTTTGGATTTCATGACCTAGATTCCGTTAGTAATAATGAAAAATATATTTTTTATCCACTCCAATTTATTCAACGGAATTGTCTGAAATTTTGTACTTCTAATTTCTAATGGGTGTATATCTGCTTTACAAAACAAATGTTCATAGTTTTTACTACGATAACCGATTTCCCCTTTATGATATCGAAAAAAAAATGCAAAACTAGTAGTAGTAGTGGCAGAAAGCAAGCTTGCTTGAGGTGATCGACCCTTTGGTATTTTTTAGTGCCAACCTTCCTTTCCAAAACACTCCAGACACAATAGTCCAACGGATTGGTATCCGGAGATTTAGGTGACCATTGTTCGCTG